CCGTAAGTATTTTACGCTTTATTTACGTTTGGAACTGTATATTACTTATCGTTTTGTGTACCCTGGCTGGTCCTGGACAGGGATTTAATACGCAAAATAGTCTGGAAATTTGGGTTAAATTTCTGGGCGTGACAGATAACAGAACATCTCGAACCCGGCCAGCAACCTCAAGATCGACCAGACCTTGTCACAAGAGTTTTCAAGGCTAAGCTGCGAGATGTGCTGGATCTTATTGTGAAGAAAAAATATTTTGGGGAGGTTCAGACTTACACGCACGTCACTGAGTTTCAGAAGAGGGGACTACCACATGAACACATCCTGTTGATCATGAAGTCAGGCAGTAAATTGACAACCCCAGATGAGTACGATAAAGTTATTTGCACGGAGATAGCAGACAAGGTCAAATACCCTGAGCTACATCGCCTTGTCATCAAGCATATGCTGCACAGACCATGCGGCGCACTAAACATGAATTGTGCTTGTATGGTGGATGGAGTGTGTCCCTTTGACTTTCCTCGACAGTTCAACCAAGCAACACAACAAGGGAAGGACTCGTACCATTTGTACAGGAGGAGAAATGACGGATGGTGTGTCAAGATTAGAGGTGCAGTGTTAGACAATAGGTGGGTGATCCCATATAATCCTGGACTGCTTATGCGGTATAACTGTCACATCAATGTTGAGGCTTGTGCAAGCATCAAATCTGTGAAGTACCTCTATAAGTATGTGTATAAAGGACACGACGGTGCATCTTTCTCGGTTGATCCATCTGGGGAAATAAATGAGATACAACAGTATAGAAATGCCAAATACGTGCCACCACCAGAGGCTATATATAGGATGCTTGGTTTCCCACTATTCGGTATCTATCCAGCTGTTCTGCAGCTCCAACTTTATCTTCCTAACATGCAGTATGTCACGTATAATGAGGATGGTAATCTTGAGAATGTTGTAAATTGTCCATCTTCTACCAGGACAACTCTTACGGAGTATTTCAAAATGAATCAAGTAGACCCGGAAGCAAGGAAACTGCTATACAAGGAGTTCCCTGAACACTACCGTTGGATAACCGGACAGAATGTGTGACAGAAAAGGAAAACGGAGAGACGCCAAGTTGGACGGATTGTGTACACTCACCCTGCAGAGGAGGAGAGATACTACTTGAGAGTGCTTCTCAACCACATGCGAGGTGCAACCTGAAGATTTGAGGACAGTGTCAGGTACAACGTACTTTACCTTTAGAGAGGCATGCGAGAAGAGAGGGCTTGTGGAGACGGATAAGTCACATGACGATTGTTTGAATGAGGCATCCACTTTCCAAATGCCATCTGCTCTGCATCGATTATTTGCAACCATATTGGTATTTTGCGAAGTCACTGATATCCGTGCACTATGGGACAATCACAAGGCTGCAATGTCTGAAGATTACAGCCGAGGGAACACTAACCCTGCAGCAGTAGAGCAGATGGTGCTACGAGACATACGTGATTTGCTTTATTCCATGGGGAAGGATATCACGGAGTATGGTCTTCCCGAGGTCATTGATATAGGTTTTTTTATACTATCACATCTTTTTCTTATTGGTTTACATTTGCACCACCCACCAATAGTTTCATGATGCATATATTTGTTTTCACTAATCTCAGGTGAACGTTGCAATGACGTAATGACAGAGATTATAGAGGAACTTAACGTGCTAGTGGACCAAGACCATTTAGACATATACACAACCCTTAATGATGAGCAGCGTGCAGGATTTGATGAGATCATTGATCATGTAACTAATAAGAAGAGCCAGGTATTTTTTATCGACGGCCCAGGTGGCACTGGCAAAATATTTATGTAAAAGGCACTTCTTGCTAGAGTGCGGTCTGAGGGATTAATAGCCATTGCAACTGCGACGTCAGGTATAGCAGCGTCGATTTTGCCCGGAGGACGTACCGCACACTCGAGATTCAAAATCCCTATTAATATTGCTCACAACAGTATGTGCAACTTCACGAAGCAAAGTGGCACCATGGAATTGCTTCGCATGGCATCCTTAATTATTTGGGATGAAGCTGCAATGATGAAGCGTCAAGCCGTAGAGACACTTGATAGGTATCTTCAAGATATTATGGGTTGTTCATTGCCATTTGGAGGAAAGGTTATTGTTTTTGGCGGTGATTTCAGACAGGTACTTCCCATGGTTACACGTGGGACAAGGGCCCAGATAACTGATGCAACATTGCAGAGGTCGTATTTATGGGAAAAATATTAGGAAGATCAGATTGTCGCGTAACATGAGGGCTCAATCTGATCCATGGTTTTCGGAATATCTCCTTAGAATTGGAAATGGCACTGAAAATACTATTAGAGATGATTACGTTCGCTTGCCTGATGAAATTGTGATTGCTTATGGGGATAGCGAGGATTCAGTACACAAATTGATTAATCATGTGTTTCCCTCGCTTGATGATGAAAAGAATGCAAGCTCTGCATCTTATATGAGCACACGTGCCATTCTATCCACTAAAAATGATTATGTGGACAAGCTGAATGCAAATATGATTGATAGATTTCCAGGGCAGGCCAAGGTTTATCACAGTTTTGACTCTGTTGATGATGACCCTCACAACAGTTATCCTCTAGACTACCTGAACTCTATCACTCCAAATGGTCTCCCACCACACGAGCTAATAGTAAAAATCAATTGTCCCGTGATTCTTCTTCGCAACCTTGACCCAAATAATGGATTGTGCAATGGGACTAGACTAATGGTTAGAGCTTTTCAAGATAATGCAATTGATGCTAAGATTGTTGGTAGACAACATGCCAGCAAAAGGGTGTTCATCCCATGGATCCCTTTGTCTCCCTCCGATGATATATCTCTACCTTTCAAATTCAAGAGGAAGCAATTTCCAATACGTCTCAGTTTCGCAATGACTATTAACAAATCACAAGGACAAACCATCCCAAATGTTGGGATCTATCTTCCATAGCCCGTGTTTTCACATGGTCAGCTATATGTCGCATTGTCAAGGGGTGTGTCAAGTCTAACAACAAGGATTTTGGCAAAGCCAAAGAAAGAAGTTGATTCAACAGGGAAGAGCACTAGAAATATCGTGTATAAAGACGTTCTTGACTGGTGAGCAAAGGTAGGTTCGCATTATCTAAATTAATTCAAAAAATATTGAATATAGTAAATTTCTCATCGAATGTTACTCACATCGACCTCTTGTTTGGTACAGCACGCCATCACCTTTTATATGGAATGCCGTGTGATTATCTTCTACATACTATCTCACACTAGATGCGTCAGTTTTCACCAGGCTGTCATTTGAGATTGTAAATATGGTTTGTATTATATAAAGGGATACATATGCTTACAAAATTGTTCTGGATTATTATTTTTCTATATGGTTCATCATACAACTTAAATGGATAATGCACCGCAGATAGCCCGCACCACCGCCATCGCCATCCACCGCATATAGCCTGCACCACTACCATCACCATCACCATCGCTGTCGCCGCTGCTTGCTCTGCTGTTTTTTTGGGGGGAAAGACAGAGAGGGAGAATAGGGCAGACAAGTGGGCCCTACGCTTTTTAGTTTTTCTCCTATCACTTACATGTAGGCCTTATCTTGTAAAGTTTTATTGTGCCCGCGCAATATCATAGTACTGCACTTTACATGAAATATATTTTATGTAGGATATGAATTGAATTAAAGTTCAAATGCATAGATCATATAAACTTTTTCTAACATGAAATTCTAAAAATTATTAAAGACATACACCGTAGCGTTTAGCACGGGCATATTACTAGTTTTGATAACGGAGCAACTTATGTGGACCGCACGCAGGCCGTAATCCCGTCCAGACCTTACGAAGGGTGGGCCAGAATCCCATTCCGGACAAACTGTTATGGACCGTACGGAGGCCGGAATCCCAAAAAAGAAAAAAACAAACAAAGTACGTTACCTGATATACAATGCGGAAATGCTAATGGGCGGGTGATCGCTCCCCCGTCCGCCTAGCGATCACCCGCCGCGCCCCTCCCCTGTACTACTCGATACACTCCTCCCTCCTCTCCCCCTTCCTCTTCCCCTTCTTCTCTTCCTACTACAGTAAACCACAAAAAAAATTTAAAAAATAAAAAGTTAGAAAAATTTATGTATAGAAATACTATATATAAAAAATTTGAATTCAAATTCAAATTTGAATCGGGTATGTAAACTTTTGACATATAAACTTTGGGTCTATAAATATTTATAGGTGTATAAACTTTAGATGTATAGAAATACTATATATAGAAAATATTGGAATTCAAATTCAAATTTGAATCGGATATAATTCAAATTCAAATTTGAATCGGGTATGTAAACTTTTGACATATAAACTTTGGGTCTATAAATATTTATAGGTGTATAAACTTTAGATGTATAGAAATACTATATATAGAAAATATTGGAATTCAAATTCAAATTTGAATCGGATATAATTCAAATTCAAATTTGAATCGGATATAATTCAAATTCAAATTTGAATCGGGTATGTAAACTTTTGACTTATAAACTTTGGATCTATAAACTTAAGGTGTATAAACTTTAGATGTATAGAAATACTATATATATAGAAAATATTTGAATTCAAATTCAAATTTGAAACGGGTATATAAACTTTTGACTTATAAACTTTAGGTCTATAAACTTAGGTGTATAAACTTTAGATGTATAGAAATACTATATATATAAAAAATATTTGAATTCAAATTCAAATTTGAATCGGATATATAAACTTTTGATCTCTAAACTTTAGATGTGTAAACTTGATGTGTATAAATTTACTAAAATAAGAAAGTAATGCGGTGCCAAAAAAGAAAAAGGGAGGAGGGAGGGGATCGATCGCTACCCCCGTCTCCAGAGGATCGATCGCCCATTAGGGTTTATCGATTACGGACGGAACCACTCCCATTAACGTTATCGTTATCTTGATCTAACCAAACGCCACCCCAGTTGCAAGCTGCTCCTCACACCGATTTCTCCCGGCCGCGTCACCAACCAACGTGGCGTCGTCGATCTCCTCCGCGCATCCGCCGGACCTCCCTCACCAATCTGCTCTGTCCGTGTCACCAACGACGGCCGCGTCAAGTACTTGCGCCGCCGACGCCGGATCGGCGGGAATCGTGCTCGAATGGGCCAGGGGCAAACGGCGCCGGCCGGCTCTTCTCCTCGTCCTCCCGGTCTAGCCAAAGGTGCCACCCTAATCATCTCCTATGACGGACAACGGTGCCACACCTCCTCTGATCCAAGCTGACTTGACCTGTTGAGATTGCCCCAATGTCACCGCCGTGGTCACTGCTGGGATGGGAAGCACGGGTCACGACGCGGAGGTCACCTGGGCCAACTTCGACGGCTCGTCTTTGGCGTCGCCTTCTTCGTTTATCAGGTACTGCTTGCCAGCCTCCCACTCCCTCCCAATTGCCAACCGCCTTGCAGCGCATAGTATCTGCTTGCTGCCCTTCGAAAGTAGGAGTAGTGTTCTGTACATGTATCGAGTTAAGTTAGAACCTTGGCTGCTATTTTGCCTCTTGTAGAAATTTGATATTATACCATTGCAAAAAGGGAAAAAAGTTGGTTTTGCTAAAACTGTCATTGTGGAGATGGGTTTCGCTAAATTATCCTTTTCAACCGGTGCATCATTGCTAAAATGCTATCTCGGACGAAAATACCCTTTAACTTCTTCCAAGCTTCTCCCTTGTTTGCTCGCCGGTGACGACCAGAAAAGGGGTGGCACGGGATGGAGGCAACGAGCCGGTGAGCAGTGGCACGCACGATCTGCGACGCCGGTTTGGCTCAACGCCAAGCCGCCGTCGACCACGAGTCCCACCGCCTTGCTATCCCGCGCCTCACCGGATCGCCGGCTCCTACACAACGACCTGCTGCACACTACCGCACGCATCCTGACGAATTCACCCCAAACACCCTGCTCGACTCCGACATACTCCTCCGGCGCTACCAAGATTTGCAAACTAGTACAAGCGTGTATCCATCTCAGGGACAGAGAAAGCAAGCACAACCGTTCTTATTGATCCCACTGTTTACACCCAAATTTGGCACCTAGAGATAAAATAGGAGAAATTGCCAAAATTTGAAAGTCTGCTGGTTTTCCTCTGTGGGGCCGATCTGACCGTCGTGTGTGGGCCGGTCAGACCGCTGGTTGATGGCCGGTCAAACCGGCGGTATGTGGCCGGTCTGATCGGCAAAGTCCGAGTCCGGGTCTGTTTCGCCGGGTCTTGAAGTTTCCTTACTCGGGAAGGCATGTTTCAGGTTTCCTCTGGATTCTATCCCGAGTTGGACGTGGAGGAGGGCTTGTAGAGGGCAAGACCAACCCCTGTATAAGGGATATGGCCGGTTCAATTGTAACTAACCAATCTACAATCAATCGAATCATTTTTCATATTGCTTTTAGTTTTCTCTTAGTTTGTCCATCTTTGTCGATTTGTGCCGTAAACCATCCGCTGACGCTGCGAGAGTGCGACACCTCTTTATAGATTTGTCCTGAAAACCTTCCGTTTTGCCCACGAGACGGGTAGTTACCTAGAAATCGGCTTCGCTAGCCGGTTTAGTTATCAAAACCTATCTTGGTCTAGTTTTTGCTAGATTGAGGTGGTTGACAACTCTAGGATCACCACAAGGCATTAGGTGTTGTGATCGTGGTTGTCAACTTGTCACAAAAAGTTACCAATACGATTTTTTGACACCTCTTTGTAGGTTTATCCTGAAAACCTTCCATTTTTCCCACGAGACGGGTAGTTACCTAGAAATCGGCTTCGCTAGCCGTTTAGTTATTAAAACCCATCTTGATCTAGTTTTTGCTAGATTGAGGTGGTTGGCGACTCTAGGATCACCGCAAAGCATTAGGTGCTGCGATCGTGGTTGTCAACTTGTCACAAAAAGTTGCCAACACGATTTTTTGACACCTCTTTATAGATTTATCCTGAAAACCTTCCGTTTTGCCCACGAGACGGGTAGTTACCTAGAAATCGGCTTTGCTAGCCGGTTTAGTTATCAAAACCCATCTTGGTCTAGTTTTTGCTAGATTGAGGTGGTTGATGACTCTAGGATCACCGCAAGGCATTAGCATTAGGTGCTGCGATCGTGGTTGTCAACTTGTCACAAAAAGTTGCCACCACCCACTAGAGACAAAAGAAACACCAACCAAACAATTGAGCAAGAACAACATCATGCGAGGTGATTTGGAGATTGACAAAAAAAAATTAAGGAAGAGCAAAGGGAGATGGGGACTGTGATTTTCGAGGAGGAAAAGACGGTGCCACTGTGGCGGAGCACAAGTGCCGGCGGGATCGTCGGGAATCACGCGGTGGCTGGCCAAAGTTCTTGCCCCGTTCATGTCGTGGTTGCTGGCCAGCGAGCAAAGTTGAAGGAGTCAGATGGAAGGGAAGAAGATGTGGATGGAGGGGTAATTTCGTCTAAAATGGCATTCTAGTGTTTGGTCACTGTTTAAAAATGGAATTTTAGCGAACACATCTCCCGAGGATGGCATTTTGGTGAAACCCAATTCTAATAATGGCATAATCTTAATTTTCTAGCCTATGGTGGTCTCTCTCTCTCTGGCTCAGAATCATGTAGTATTTGTGTTTATTGTTGCTTGGTTGGACTGTAGGTCCTGGTGTTCTGACAGCGCCATCACTTTGGATCTTTTGCCTTTCATCTTCCGGTTTCTACTTGCCGGCCAGCCTAGCTATGGAAAAGTATGGATTTGTTTTACTATGGCAGCTTGGCTGTTCACTCTAATCATGAGGACGGATTGAACGCGTTATACGACCTCAATCGAAGTAATAACTCTTGTGAGAGATGTAATGTTCATTGTTTTCCCTTGCTTTTGGTCATATACTCAATGACCAGGTGGTTGGGTTAGAAAGATACTTGAGAAAAAAATCGAAGTTTGTAGACAAAATAGAATTGGTGTGCAAGCTTTAGTTGAAAATGGTAAATGCAGGCTATAGCATGGGAGAATTTCAACTTAATCATTGTATTTTACTTTGACTCACTAAAGAGAAGAGAAGGAACATTTAATAAATAAGTTTGTTCGCCCGGCGAGAATAAAGAAATGTATTTCATTGTTGTTTCATTTCATGGAAGGAAGAAGAACAGTCCTGCTATTTACACTGGTGGAGAAACCATCTTTGGTCGGTCGGACAGATTTCACAATAGTCCTGGTTGTATTAAAAACCGGGACTAAAAATATCTTTAGTCCCGGTTTAAAATCTCAGAGGTACTTTTTTGATCTTTATTCCCGGTTGGTGTTACCAACCGGGACTAAAAATCTATTTATAGTCCCGATTGGTGTTACAAACCGGGAAAAAAGATCGACATACACTTTACTCTCGGTTGGTGTTACCAACCGGGACTAAAGATCTATTTGTAGTCCCGGTTGGTAACACCAACCGTGCGCGCGGATTGGATCGAGGTCTCCTCCTCCCTCCCGCTCCTCTCTCCTTTTAACTCCCGGCTCCTCCTATCCTCTGACTCCTTACACCTTATCTCTTCCTCTCCTCTTTTCCCTCCCCCATCCTCCCCACTTCTTGATCTGCAGCGCAGAGGCCCGGCGGCGCCTCTCCTCCTTTCCCTCCCCCATCCTCCCCACTCTTGATTTGCAGCGCGGAGGCCCGGGCAGCGCGAAGGGCCGGGCGGCTGGCGGCCTTGCTGCGGTGCGCCGGCGGGCGGAGGGCCGGGTGGCCTCACAGCGGCGCGGAGGGACGGGCGACCTCGCAGCGGCGGTCGGCGCTCCGGCGGGTGGAGGGCCGGGCGGCCTCGCAGCGGGTGGCGCAGCAGCAGCAGCAGGCGTTTCTTTGTTTTTTTTTGAGAATTCGTGATTCGGATCTGAGATGTATTTGATTTGTGTGTGATGTGAATATGTGATGTATTTGTGATGAATTTTGTAGAAGTTGTGATGTAATTTTTTTTAAGATTTTGTGATGTATTTTATATGATCGATTTGAGGATTTGAGGATTTGGGGATGATTGATTTAGGATTTTGGGATAGGGATGGAGTGAAATCAATATATTAAAAACAACGAAGAAAAGAATAGAATAATGGAGCAACCGGATCTAGCTAGCCTAGCTCTATTGTTAGTACTAAAAATGTTCTATCTTTAGTTCCGGTTGGTAACCCCAACCGGGATTAAAAATGGATTTTTACCCCCGGTTATTTCACCCGGGACTAAAGATAACGATCTTTAGTCCCGGATTCGTAGTCCCGGTTGGAAAACCGGGACTATAAAGGGTTATGAACCGGTAGTAAAAAGCACTTCTCCACCAGTGTTACTCTCTTAGATTGGAAATTATGCATGAGAATCTTCTACTGTATAGATTGAGGGGCGAGATGGGGAGGGAGGCAAAAGAGGTAAATGGAGGTTTTCACAGAAAACAAAGGTTTTTTTTTATGATCTAGGTTCATGATGTTCTTGGTGCCTATTGATTTAATTAGGTAATGTTTAAAAGTTTGTGCTCTCAGGACATATCTTAGATGGGAGCAGTGGATAAAGAAGTTGCAGTTCATTACCATTGGTTCAAGGTAACAACACTAGTTTTTTTTTCCTATGGAACGTATTCTAAACAAACATTAATCCTTTCTCTCATTTCAGACAAAATCCTAGATACCACTTCAGTATTTTTGTGCAATGCGGTTTTCATTGGGACCACCGGAAATCACTTAATTATGTAGGAAAGAGATGTGGAAATCCTATGATATATGCAACTGAGAATAGTAATGCTTCCGTACCTCCTAAAGTGAATGTGATGCAACATAGATTTTTCGAATATTTATCAATATGGCCCTTTGTTCTACATAATTAGAGTAGGTTGTATATTTAACAGTTATTATTCATCGTTTAGACAATAATTGTTTGGTCGACTATTATGTAGTAAAGAATTCACAGCTCTACCTCTTTGCCAACTACTATATTTGGTCGACCATAGATATCAACCTGGCACTTCACTTGATTAACCACTAAGGGAGCCTCCCATGTGATGTTTCATAAAGAGGTTGAATTGTTACCCATTTGCAAACAAATACGTATAGATTGAGATAATTTTCATGCATTTTTTTTTACTTTTGTTCTCCTACTGATTTTCCTATTATAATATTACACGGTTTCTTTTAGATGACCACATTTGCTGGAGGTGTATCATCCATGCAGGCGCATGGACCAACTGACCACCATATACATCCTCCTTTCAAGGATGGATTTGGTCCCTCTATGAACCAAACAAGTTTTTTTTGTTCGAGAACAACTTTCTCAACTATATGCCCTTATAACTTCTCTCATGGTTAGTATCATGCTTCGGTTCTTGCATGCGCCATATTTCATGGATTGGAAGTAGAAATTGTGCTTAGATAGGGTTATTGATGCTTAATTTTTACCTTGGCGTGCTTAGGCCGATTTAAGTCCTATTGTATCCTTATATGTATCACCGTATCAATGAAAGATGACAGGCGGAGAGCTCCTGCAGGCAATAAATTTCCTATGGTAGGATGAGCCTATCAAGTTCTAACGGGATGAAATACACCGAGTTTCTGGTAAGATAATTGGTTTGCCAGTCATGATGGATCTGCAAGCAATATTACTGCAGTCCTTCTTGGCTGAAAATAAAAATGTTGAATTGCTGCTTCATGCTTTTTCAGGAGTAAAGCCAGAGAGGCTGGTACAGGGTCTATCTCCTAGATATTGTGCATTATCTCTGGTTGTGGAACCAAATATGTATCCAGAGATAAATGTTCTGATTGTTGATCTACACCGTAGGCACATATCTACATTTCTTGTCAGTAATGCACAGTTTCCTGATAAGATTAAGACATTGAAACCAATCAATCATGTCATATTCGAATTAAGATATGTTTTGGCATTTAAGTGCTCAAAGCAACAAGCTTTAAAGATATCTGTTTATATGGTTGCAACTGTATGTCAGTGTGGACGCAGCTACAAAGGAAACCTTGAAAACTGTCGATAGACTATTATTTTCAGAATTCCGGGAGCGTTTTCTGGTAATTCAAAAGTACTTCCAGATGTACACCATGAACATAAGGTTTGCGTATACTGATCTGTATTGTTTTCCGTGCTATTTACCTTGATTTTATGATGTTGCCCTAGGATTCACTGAAGTCTCTGCATCACAAAGATCAATGAACAGTCTACCGGCTGACATTGGTTAAAGGCTAGAATGCAGAAGAGATAGATGGTTATGCAAAGTTACTGCCTTGGCCAATCTGATTTCATTGAAATCAAGGGTGTAACATATTGTGGCTCGTAAGTGCCTTACAATCTTCTTTCATGTTGATTGCAACCTGTCTCTTCAGTTGCTTGTTTAGCCGCCTGATATTTTTTGACAAATGCTTTCAGGCCAGCAGCTTCCAAGTTGACTATGGAAAATGTCCCCTGTCACTCTGATGTAAAAGAATTCTCTGAGGCTTTGGCATTAAGAAGTGGTGGCATTTATGAAGTAGCTTGTGAGCATGCTCATTCATGCTGTCTTCTGCTTGCAAGTTTAGATGCATATCGATTAGTTTGCCTTTTTCCAGACTTTTTAGGTCATTAAAATGCAAATTAATTTTATTTTTTTCTACTATGGCTACTCATGGAGTTGCTATTCGAAAATTAATCAACTTGTGTGGACTGGTTTTCGTTGCGGTTAGAGTGTAATTGGGAAATGGTTTTGTTTTTACCTACTATAATATGTGCTTTGGATTAAGAAACTGCGTATGCTGCCATGTTGTCCCCCTGGGTTACGTGTCATTAATATGATGCCATCTCCTTTTACCTTCGTTGTACTGAAACATACAGAACACTTGTTTTGGCAGGTATAATAGTAGATTTTCTGTTAGCATATATAGGAGTAGTACACTAGATGCATGAGAAAAAGCAATATTTTTATAAATACCATATTGTTTTGTCTTCTCTGTTGATTTTTGCAGGACTTCTATGGTTGGAATTGATTTCAGGACTCCATTCAAAAAATGTGTGGCATAAATGGAATGATTTATGGTAGTTGCAGAGTCACTAACAAGTAACACCCCCCCCCCCCCCCCCGCCGCGGCCCCCCTCCTTCAAATCTGAACTTGATTGGTTGACATCGATGAGGGGAGTACACTTTATTTGTTTTTTTAGAATGATTCTTTGCTCCTTTTTTAAAAGAGTCCAAATCAGCCAATCCATATCATTTGTATGAATCCAATACAGACGCATGAAGTAAAGTTGTTTAGTGACTCACCAGCCCAGGTTATTTTGAGCCCCGGAGGATTTGCACTGTCATTACTTTATATGTTTAGTACACTATATATTGATGAAGAATTGGAGACTAGATAGTTAATTTACATTCTGACATTAAACATTGCATCACAACATTGCAATGATTTTAGTTTCCATACATGCTACATTTCACATTGTTAAATGCCAGGTCGATCAACACATTGGAGAAATAAGAAATATATGTGACAATTTGCGCTTGAGGCAAGCTCATTTTTGTACCCATGTCATTGTTGCCTGCAGTAGAGTGACTTCACATGGACCTAATAGGCAAAATAAGCTGACAAGACTTATCATCTTCTGTTGGAAACATGGAATATTGAGCAAATGGCATGATACTTCTGTTACCATGTTTAAAGACACTTGCATTACCTCTGTTATGTAATCTTGATGATGATAACTATTTGTATATTCATGTTTTGGCAAAAACAAGTCATCGTTGTAGTGTATGTTTTGATCAAAATTGTGGTGTATATTTTGCAAAAATATGTCACTGTATCGATTGGTAATTTGTTGATTATGTGTGCTCATTTTAGGTTATATACGCACTGTTAATTTTATTAAGTACATTTCTGTTCGAGTGGTGATAACTATGATTTTTATCAAAACCATCAGAACCCGTATTATGCCATTATGTTATGTCCTTCTAGTCTGAACTAACTGATCAAAAAAAAAATCATATTTGATATTCATCACAAGTATATCTATCTTGGGCACGCCCTATTTGAAGTCACGTATATATGCTTTTCACTTTCTGCGATGTCTTTTTGATCGATCGCACTAAACACATTACTCGCGCACGTGTCGCAGCTCGTGATCCTTTCTACTTACCTGTCAAGACCGCATTCTAGAGTTATTTGAAGAGAGCTACACAGCATATCGAGCCAAACACTCTACACATCAGCTCCAACTCCAACTCCAACATAAAGCGGCCTTACAAGTTGCAGTTGGAGCTGGACCCCTGCCATAACATATATTGAACCAAAGGGTAAGGAGAAGAACAAACCAAGCATACCTAGTAAAAGAATTAGGGTGTATTTCGTTGCAAGCCACACTTTGCCACAGTTTGCCATGCCTAAAGTTAGGCAAATTTGACAGGTGTTTGGTTGTAGCCACAGTTGTGGCAAGATTCCCCTCCAATAAATTAGGTCCCACGTGTCAATGGCTCAAAAAAGTGTGGCAAGGTTCTATTAGGCTTAGTAGTTGTGGCTAACAATTTGATCACTTCACCTTAGACAAAGTGTGGCAACTTTTATTGGCAAGTAATGGCAAAGTATGGCCGAGAACCAAAACATCCCCTTACTGCTACTCCTGGGGAGAAAGTAGTAAACAGAAAAATAGAAACAGCTGAAATTTCAGAGTAGCCAGCATGCGACATTTAGAAAAACACATCCAATATTTCAGTATCAACACAAACTTAAAATGCTGCCATCAGACCTACACCAGTGACCATAAATAAGAGTCAAAGTTAATTAGTCGCTGCCTGCTAATTTGGGCTACTCAGTTGCGCAAGCATCATCATTAATCATAAACAACAAACAGATTAAACTAGCAACTAGGACGCGACCACGTCTGATGTTGTGATGAATTTTTAACCATCTGAACAAGATGATGGCCCCTTGGCATGGTCCCTGGCATGGTCAAAGTAGAAGAAATCTTCTTGCACCGCACCCCTGAAATTAGAGACCAAGAGGCCATTGTTGAAGACGCTCTCGATGCTATTGGTCAAAACGTGCTTCCGGCGTGCCATCTTCTCGAAGTCTGTGTCGCACCCATGGTAGTTCCCATCAGCCGGGTGAATGATATTAATGCCTTTATACTCACAGTAGAAGCACCGGACCTTCTCTGCAATGAATGAGAGGAAGATTAAGCGAACATTCAAGAGACAACTGTTGCAAAGCAAGCACATGTGTAAGCTAGAACATGCAGGTGGACTTCTTTTCTGGGTGTGTGTGTGGGGGGGGGGGGGGGGGGTACCAGTTGCAGTTCAGTTACTAGCAACATTCCTTGGCAAATGAGACTAGTTAAAGACATGTCAAACCAAAAGCACCGATCACCGATAAGCGAATGAGAGACGCACCAGCATTTGTTGGTGGCACGACAACAGGGTAGCAATTGTTCTTCCTGGCACGGTCGCTTTCTTCATTGTGATTTACGCACTCTGCAAAGAAAAGGGTTGGCAACACACCCACAGCACTTGGCCCAGTAGGGCTCGCCAAGAAGTTAATGTGGGAATAGTGAAATTTGTTGTGCGATCTTGGCCAGTTAATCCTGCTAAGCTCTGGGCCATTGCGGTCCGCGACACTTTCGTTCGCACCACAGATGACATGGATCACATACTGAGGGCCCTGCAAACATACAAAACAGTTCAATTTTGTAAGCACAAAAAAAAAAAAAAAAAAAAAAAAACTAGTGATGAGAACACAGAATCAGAGAAAAAAGTGAGCCATACCCCGTTCTCCAGAACATAGCTTTCCAATGCGGCCTTCGCCTTGCTGTGGAAAGAGCTCATGTCAGCCCAGAAGCGCTTGGTAGCATCAGGGAACTGGTCAATGGTCCGTTCTGCCGCCAGGCTCAAACGTACCAGCTCCGGTGGCATCCCAAGTGACGGTGGTGGTTCATGTAACAGTGACTCGATGACGGAATGCACATCCTCTCGGGAGAATCTGCGATACTCCATCGGCAGCATAGCACGAGTGCGCTCAGATATGAGGAACTCTTGTAGTCCATCAGCGCTCGGGTGCTGAGCAGCAATGGCCATCACGCTGTACAGCTGCAAGCGCTTAGCCATAACATCCATGAAGCGGCACAGCTCGGAGTCAGACAGCATTGTACGTTCTTGGTTCAGGAGTGCTTGCTGCAGTACGCTCATGGCAGTGGCAAAGTCCCCGTTGGCGTAGAGGAGGCACCTGATGGCTTGGAGTTCAGAGAGGTTGTAGTCCCCGGCAAAGGCAATGAGGCCAGCGACGAGGCCAGCAACGGAATAGCGCTCAGCACGGACCAGCGCCCACCTGCCAATCATGTCCAAGTCTAGGTGCTGCTCCTTGGGGACCGGGAACGCGGCGTCGTACCAGATGGTGTTGAGGATGATGTTGGAGACGGGGTCGAGTGGGCCGTAGCAGTGGCCGGCCATGACAACGCTGCGGTGGTAACGGCCGCGGAGAAGGTGTTGAGGTAGGAGAGCGAGTGCCTCGAGGTAGAAGCCGTGGATTTTGTCGACGAGCACGCATTGCAGAGACTTGGTGCATCGTTCGAGTGTTCTCTCGTCCTTGACGGTGACACCTTGCGGGGCGAGTGGGGAGAAGGTGGCGGCAGCGTCGGCGAGCTCGGGTGGCAACCTTGGAGGCACAAGAGCCATCAGTTGTTGAGTACAAATTTGGTCATTGGTTCCTTCTTCTAGGAGAAGGTAGCTGAGGTGGTCCACGTCTGAGCAGGTGAGACGACCCTTCCTAGACAAGAGATGGGCGATCTTGTGGGCTTTGGAAGAGAGCGAGAGCATCGCCGTGGCCAATCTGTCCGGGTCGGGGTGACCCGAGGCCCCTGCGGCGCACCGGAGGGCGGTCTTGGTGGTGCAGGAGCCGATGTCGAACGCGCTCGTGCAACGTTCTGCCTCCACGAGGTGGACGGCGGCGAGGAGGTCCCCCTCGGCGGCGCGCAGGAAGTGCATCGCCTCCATAGTGGGCAGATAGCGGAAGTAGGAGGTCATGAACCCCACGAGGGCTTTGAGAGACCCCCGCGCCATCGTCTTCAAGCACTGCCGCATCTCAACCTCCTCCACATGTTCGCTAGAATCCTCACCGGTGCTGAGGTGCCAGATGGCGTTGGCGACGATGTTGGAGACGGGATCCAGGGGGCCGAAGCACAAACCGCCGTCGAGGATGGCGGCCAGCAGCGCCGGCTTCTCTTCCACCGGGAGGCGCTCAATCGCCCTTGTGTAGAACCCAATGATGCATCGTTTCAGCACCGATTTGTCGCCTCCGCCGCCGGCATCGGGCACCGGCTGACCGGGGCCAACTCGTTTGCTGGCCATAGGACGGCGTCCGCGGCGAGAGATTGGCGGATTTGGATTCGGGGGGTTTCGGTTTGCCTACGGATTTGGGAAGAGGCCCTTTTCTCCAGTTTGTATGGGCGACGAATCCGCAAGTGTGCTTTGTGTGTGCCTGTTGATGAGCCGAGCTCGAGCTGGACCTAGACTTGAGCCGAGCCTCTACAATGGTGGTCCAGCTTGGGATTGGGCTCAGCTTGAGTTTCGTGGAGTATTTGCTCAGCTTGGGGTGTGATTGGTTGGTGGGATATACCCGGATAGAACATGGCCGCCGCTTTTTGGAGGTTGTTTGGTTGCTGGGCGAAAGTGGGATAGGGCGGCCCGGAGGGGAATATTCCCCTCAGATGCTGGATAGAGGGATCCGGCCGATTTGGCCGGATGCAGCCGCCCGAGGCTCGGGCGAGCCGGGCGAGCGAGTCATGTGACTCGCGTCACCCCTCACCACGACGACGCGAGCGAGACGGCGGATAGGGTGGCCGGCGCGGGCGCCGGCGCGGGCGACGAGAGAGGAGGCGAGCACGGCGGTTGTCGGGGGTGACGAGCGCGGCGACCGGCGAGAGAGAAGGAGAGCTCGGCAACCGGTGTGGGCGACAAGAGAGGAGGCGAGCTCGGCGGCCGGTGTGGGTGACGAGCGCGGCGGTCGGCGAGAGAGAAGGGGAGCTCAGCAGCCGCCGCGGGCGACAAGAGAGGAGACGAGCTCGACAGCCGCTACGACGACGACGACAACGATGCGGACGGCGAGCGCCGCGTCGGCGTGAGGAGGTGGCGGCGGCCACCGCCAGCGGGAGGAGGCGGCTGGCGGGAGGAAGCGACGGTGAGAGGAGGCGAGCGGCGGGAAGAGGCGGCGGCGACGAGCCCCAGATCCGGCCGTGTTTTTTTTTCTTTTTTCTTTTCTCTTTTTTTCTTTTTTCTACGTGTATTTATAATGGAAATAGTGGTGTAAAATTGTATTATGTATTAATTTGATGGAGTATATTCACCATCTCAAGTGGAGAGGTGACCACACACTAAAAAATTGGATCACCAAATCCACCTTCGTCCCTACAACCAAATAAAAAACTGGATTGCCATATTCACACAACCAAATAAAAAACTGGACCGCCATATCCAACAAAATATGGACCACCATATCCCATCCAACCTTGACCAGGAACCAAACAAACCCTTGATGAACCGATATTGTCGTTTCGTGGAGTATTTGCTCCATATCCTCCATCTGCTACTAAAAATACAAATACGATTTCTCGCAAAAAAAACTTTTTCTATTACATTATTATTGTTTAAAGGCCCCTCGTTTGTTCTATTTTTTTGAGTTCTAAATTATTACATTTATTAATTCGGAATTGCTAAACTTCAGTTGACAGAAAACATACCTCCAAATCTTGCAAATTTTGGTTCACTAGATATGCTTCGCGATTCGTGCTCCAGCTGCTGCTTCTCCAGCGCTGGCGACACCCTAGGATGTTGAGTTGTGATCCAAATTCATTTGCACTTAATAAATGACAACTTCTGCCGTAGCAAAGCGGAAGCCCATCGCCGGAGGCTTGGGCCTTGAAGCTGGCCCATTGGGTTGTGCACCTAGAGACGCCCAGGGGTGCGGGTGTGGAGCCCCCGCGGTACGGATCGTCTTCCCTTTTAGGGTTCCACCTCATATATATATATCTCTTGTAAGCCGCCGTGCGACGTTGTAACCTCACCCCGATATAGTGAAGATATTTTGTTGGCTAGCGCCCATGGTTTTTTCTCTCCTAATTTGGAAGGGTTTTCCACGTTAAAATCTCGTGTCTTCTGTTATTGATCTATTATTCTTTATCGTTTGTTTGCCTATCGTTTCCTAACATAGGACCCTACGGGCTAGGGTCTCGTGGTAGGGTGGGGGTGGGAGGGGTGGGAGGGGGAGGAGGAAGAGGAGGAGTTCGCTGGTTTTAGAGGGATGGCCGTGGGAGGCGGCAGCCCAGCGGTGGGCGGTAGATCGGGCAGGCGGCGGCGGCGGAGCCACGGGATGGAGGAGGGTAGTGGGCCGGCGTTGGTGGCAGGGGCAAAGCAAGCATTTGGTTAGGAGGCAGCGGGCGATGGTTGCGGATCCGGCAGATCCGGCAGCGGAGAGCTGCCGGAGACGGGGAAGGCGGCGGGCGGTGGTTGCGGATTCGGCGGCGGGGAGCCACCGGAGATGGGGAAGACAGCAGGGCGGGGGCACCTCGCCATCGCCGCCTTGAGGAGAAAGAGACGGGGGAGGGGGAGAGAGGAGGGGGAGGGGGCTCACCGGTGCCGTTGACTCTTTCCGGCCAGCCGACGAGGCGGGTGGTGGCGCGGTGGTGGCGGTGGTTGCGGATCCGGCGGTGGGGAGCCGCCAGAGACGGGGAAGACGGCGGGGCAGGGGCACCTTGCCATCGCCGCCTTGAGGAGAAAGAGACGAGGGAGGGGTAGTGGGGAGGGGGAGGGGGCTCGCCGGTGCCGTTGACTCTTTCCGGCCAACCGACGAGGCGAGTGGCGGCACGATGGGGTGGTGGCGGAGGGGGATCGCGCGAGGGACAGGAGGAGTGGTGGCAGTGTGATCTGGACGGGGGAGGAGGAGAGGAGTTAGGGTTAAGGGGTCTACACGAATCTTGAAGCATATCCAATGGTCCAAAATTTGAAAGATAGGAGGTGGATTTTCTGTCAACAGATATGTAGACAATCCCTTATTAATTTTACTTCCTAAAATATTCAATTTATCCTTATAGTATGCATATAATCCTTATGGCTTTGCCACTTGTTTCTCCCCGTAGCTTCCATCCATGCTCGATCTAAGGGAGTGGTAGACAAAATTAGAACAAGTTAAAAAGATCAGGATCGAGAGAAAAATAAACCGCAACCAAGAAACACGGTTAGGGCATGTTCAATGGTAGAGATGAGTATGGTCTCTTAAACAATACAAGATTATTTAGAGACCATGTCTTTACAATAGTTGAGACGACAAAGGTTCCAATCATTAACTCAAAAAATATTTATTTTTTTAATATTCTTTCCATTCTTTTACCCTCATACAACCATATTTCTATATTATATTATAGTGATTAAGAGTCGTTGTTAAGCTATTGTTATGCATGACAACGATGTTTTGTCTCTCCTTTTTTCTTTCTTCCATGTCAACAAGTATTCTTAATTAGCAATGTATTGACAACCATCGTACATGTCCTTAATAGTTTGGTCCTAGCTGCTAAGTGACCGAATGTTATTCCGTTAATTCGGCCACCACCCTTGGTTAACCGAATAAACTAAATTCGGCCAAATAGGCCCAATACAATATACAGAAGACATCAGCCTAACTAGCAGAACCCTAGGCATGCACTGCATGGGGATTCCTAATCAGCGCGTACGCGCGAGGAGCGGAACCGGCATGCACTCCCCACACCGGCACGTGGCCCGTACGTCAAGTACGAATCTATTAATAGTGTGATTAGCGTTAATAATAGTGTTATTAAGGAATTTGTATAATAAAAAAATAAATAATAATTGAGTTGAAAATTTTAAAATATCAGTTAAAAGTATTCATAGTTTAAGTTGAAAGTTTTCAAATTTAGACTTGAAAGTTTTCAAATTTAACTAAAAGTTTTCAAATTTTGAGTTGAAAGTTTTAAATTTGAGTTCAAAGTTTGCAAATTTAGAGTTGAAAGTTTTTAAAATTTAACTGAAAGTTTTAAAATTTTGACTTGAAAGTTTTCAAGTTTGTCTTGAAAGTTTTTAATTTGAGTTAAAAGTTTTTAAATTTTAAGTTGAAAGTTTTCAAATTCATGTTGAAACTTTTAAATTTGGATATAAAGTTTTAAGTTTCAGGTAGAGTTTTTTTTAAAAATTCTAATTGAAAGTGCAACGGAATGAAAAAGGAAAAAAAATACAACGTGATTAGTCTAATTCTGATACGGATTAAAAAGCGAAAAATTAGACTAATCATGACGTGCGTTTCCTATTACCGTGCTAATCGCGTTTTTTTTCCTCGAACTCCGATTTTGACCACCGCGCTAACGACACGTGGATCCGGTCAGTGGCGGATGCAGCTTTAAAAAAAGAAGGAGCAAAAATATTCACTCGATAAAAACAATCGAACACAATACGTACCACGTACTATATTTATATTGCAATTGCATAAGAAGCATAGTACATTCAATAATTTAAGGGCAACAAAGAAATTCAGGATGGTACCTTTCATTTTAAAAGAAAGAAATGACCTTTCCACCATTTATAATTCATCACACACCAAGCTGATAACAGAAAACCTGTCAATTTGCAAACACAAGTCCATTGATAAGACATGGGAGATAGTGAAATAATCATCAAATCTCTTTAAAAATTGGTTGATATATAACTATATAAGGAGATGCACCTCTAATAAATCACTAGGCAAATCTATTATTCACCGTTCGTCCATAAACTTCATGATATACCTTAGAAATTAGGATAAAAGATGAAGAAGGCGCTGGGATTGGTGGCTAGCCCTAGCCACCGGGCAACGGCAGGAGCAGTGGAGCTATTGGCTGCTGCCGGCCTGCTGCAGTGTCGCTGCCGCTGCACAGGCATGCAGCGTGCCAGCGCTGGCCGCGCCGCGCGGGGACGGGGCTAGGGCACGGCAGACCGGCGACGACGACACGGCGTCACGGCGGCGCTATGGGCAACGATGTTGGTGTAGAAGCAGTCGAGGCGCCGAGCACCACGCAGCGAGGGGCGTTGGCGAGACAGCTTCGGGCTTCAACGGCGGCATCGAGCGTTGGTGCCTCGGCGGTGTGATTCACGATTTCGCGTTCAGAAGACGAAGTGTCGCGTGCGGCGTCCGCCTGACCATGACTCCGTGCAGAAGTTAATTAAGTTGGACACTTGGGCTGCTAACTGCTCACTTATGGGCTAATTGTGGATAGAATGTGGTGGTAGGCGGTCCAAGAGGGATATGGGGGAGGTGGGGCGACACAGTCCGTAGCAGGGCTGGCCAACCCACTCTGCCTAATGGGTGGTTCCGCCCCTGGTGGACGTATGCGCGCATAAGCTATCTGGCGTGTATGCGCTAACTAGCAAAACCGACACTGCATCCCCTTAGTCCTCCTCACTCCTTATCCCGATCGGCCGATCCCCTCATTCGCCACCCTCAGGCACCGCCTTAGCGTCAACCCACCATGTGCTCCTCCTCGTGCTTGATGTCATCCTTGCCTCCTTGGCTCTGCAACACCTGTCACACCCTGACTTTTGTGTCTTCCGTTTTTTTTTGCCTGTTTGTGAAAATTCACATTTGATTTGTTCGTCTTAAATAGCTTAATGAAAACTTCATTAAATCAAAATGGTTTAATATGATTAATTAATTAATTACATCGTTGGCTTTGTTGTTTTTCATTGGAGTTAATTGGATTTAATTTTTTTAAAAGTGGAGCTCAATACCTAATCAAAATTCCACCCAAATTCAATTCCTAATATCCTAAATTCTCCTTAAAAATTTCAAATATTCCAGAAAAGTCTCCAGACTTTTCCCTTATTCCTTTTTCCTTCCTTTCTCTCCCTTTACCACTTCTCTTCTTCTTCTTCTTCTTCTTCTTCTTCTTCTTCTCCTCCTCCTCCTCTTCTTCCCTTTTCTGTTTTCTTCCACCTTTTTCCTTTGGCCATGGAGCCAAAGCTACCTCTCTCCCTTTCCAGCCCGTCCCGGGGAGGCCAAGCCCCGAGCCCGGGCATCCTAAATAGGCCCAATACCATTCAAAGCAATCTCAACCATCCAATTCCCTTGATCGAGTCCTAGCGATGGGATCTACGAAATCCCATCCATCTCAGCCCTAGATCTATCCACATCATCACCATGTCATCCATCTCATCCCCACGTGGCATCCACATCAGCCGGTCCATCATACACCGAGTCCACCGTGAGCCATACCACTGACTAATGGGCCCACATATATTCTCTTTCACAAAAGTAATTAAATTTCTGAAATTAAATATCCAGAGAATATTATTGGGATATTCTTTTTCTTATCCAAAGATTTTCTCCAAATTCAAACTTCAGGAGGTCACAACTTTTCTGTCCGAACTCCGATTCAACCAGTCTTCTTTCTTAATTCTTCTAAAATTGAGATATACCTCCTGGTTACATTTGTTGTTTTGTTTGATGTTAATTAGTTAGTCTTTTCTTTTTTTTTATTTGTTTCTCGTTTGTCATCATGTAGACGTTGGACCAAAGGTGTTGTTCGTTGCAGAAGACGCAGTGTAGGGACAGTTTTTGGATGCAAGGCAAGTGCACTCTTTGAACGTATTGAACCTAGTTTATAAAATATTTTGTTTTGAACATGCATGATTTTATTTATAACTTCTTGATGACCTAATCGTTATAATATCCCGTATTTGATTAATATTGACTCACTATGATACCTCTATCTTGGGCTCAACTCAAGATAGAGTAGCTATGCTTAGCCACTCTCTAGGTTGTTTTATAAGCAAAATCTAATTTTGATTAATCATATACTTATAGTTATTTTTATATGAACTATGTGATTGTGTGATATCTTCCCGTTTTATGTGTTGCGCCGTGTAATAAACAATAGGTGGATAAAATGATTTGGACTAGGCTGATGGGTGGTTCTGTGTGTGAACCTAGTTAGGTGATGATGTATATGTGTGATCATTATCAAGTATGGTCCCTGTGTGAGTCTACTATCAAGCTATGTGCTATTTAGTTGCTCAAAGGGTCAACTTCGTGTTCTTAAGCCGTTACCTTATATTGTGTGCTATTATAGTTTTGGCAAGTTGTCTTGTCAATTTAGGACTTCACTTCATAAGCCATTAATCCGAGCCTAACATGCAACCACATTGTTCTCATGGAAAGAAACTGGCTCAATAAGATTCCGAGTCTTGGCACTGTCTGCCCAGGTGGCTAGATGATAGGCGTTAATGTTAGACATAGGTACTTTTTTGTCTGTGTGAGGGAAACTGTCTCATGGGGGAAGGTAGTGTTAAGACGGAGTTTCTTGTTCCAGACTCCACACACAACCTGAACATAGTTTTCCAATGCGGCCTTCGCCTTGCTGTGGAAAGAGCTCATGTCAGCCCAGAAGCGCTTGGTAGCACCAGGGAACTGGTCAATGGTGCGTTAGCCACCAGCCCCAAACGTACCAGCTCCGATGGCATCCCAAGCGACGGTGGAGGTTCCTGTAACAGCGACTCGATGACGGAACGCACATCCTCTCGGGAGAATCTGCGAGACTCCCTCGGCAGCATAGCACGAGCACGCTCAGACACGAGGAAATCAAGTAGTCCATCAGCGCTCGGGTGCTGAGCCGCGATGGCCATCACGCTGTACAGCTCCAAGCGCTTATTAGCCATAACATCCATCAAGCGGCACAGCTCGGAGTCAGACAGCATTCTAGTTCTTGGTTCAGGAGTGCTTGCTGCAGTACGCTCATGGCAGTGGCAAAGTCCCCGTTGGCGTAGAGGAGGCACCGGATGGCTTGGAGTTCAGAGAGGTTGTAGTCCCCGGCAAAGGCAATGAGGCCAGCGACGAGGCCAGCAACGGAATAGCGCTCAGCACGGACCAGCGCCCACCTGCCAATCATGTCCAAGTCTAGGTGCTGCTCCTTGGGGACCGGGAACGCGGCATCGTACCAGATGGTGTTGAGGATGATGTTGGAGACGGGGTCGAGTGGGCCGTAGCAGTGGCCGGCCATGACAACGCTGCGGTGGTAACGGCCGCGGAGAAGGTGTTGAGGTAGGAGAGCGAGTGCCTCGAGGTAGAAGCCGTGGATTTTGTCGACGAGCACGCTTTGGAGAGACTTGGTGCATCGTTCGAGTGTTCTCTCGTCCTTGACGGTGACACCTAATGAGGCAAGTGGGGAGAAGGCGGCGAGCTCGGGTGGCAACCGTGGAGGGACGAGAACCAATATCTGTCGTTGAGTACAAATTTGGTCATTGCTTTCTTTTCTAGGAGCAAGTGGCGGAGATGCTCGACGGCTGAGCAGGTGAGACGATCCGCCGTCCTAGAGAGGAGATGGGAGGCGATCTTGTACGCCTTGGAGAAGAGCGAGAGCATCTCCGAGGCCACTCTGCTCGGGTCGCGGTGACCCGCGGCCCCCGCGGCGCACCGGAGGGCAGTCCTGGCGGTGCATGAGCCGATGTCGAACGCGCACGACATGCAACGTTCTGCCTCGACGAGGTGGACAGCGGCGAGGAGGTCCCCCTCAGCGGCGCACAGGAAGTTTAGCGCCTCTAGTGTGGGTAGGTAGCGGAAGCAGGAGGTCATGAACCCCACGAGGGCCTTGAGTGACCCCCGCGCCTTAGTCTTCAAGCCTCGCCGCATCTCAATCTCATCCACATCTGCACCGGAATCCTCACCGGTGGTGAGGTGCCTGATGGCGTTGGTGATGATGTTGGAGACGGGATCCAGGGGGCCGAAGCAGAAGCCGCCGTCAAGGACGGCGGGCAGCAGCTCCGGCTTCTCGTCCACGGGGGAGGCGCTCAATTGCAGCGCTGTAGAACCCAACGATGCGTCGTCTCAGCACCGATTTGTCGCTTCCGCCTCCACCGCCGGCAGAGCTCACATCGGGCACCGGCCGATGGGGCGAACTCGTTTGCTAGCCATTGGACGGCGGCGTCTACAATGGCGGAGTCAGGATCTCAGTACGCTTAGGGCTCAAATCGAAGTAATATCCATGATAATTCATATGCTGAAGTACAAAGTACAGAAAAAATAAAAGAGCAAAATCAAAACTAATTCAATTAAGAGATATATATATATATATATATCAATGGAAAAACTCGTGTCTATCACTTCTTACCATCTTCGCAATAAGGCTACCAAGGTCAGAGCAGCTTGAGAAATCCAAATCAGATCTCCCGTCACAGATAAATGTGTCAGTTGGTCTCTAATGACTGTACAATCATATTTAGAAAAGTGACATAAATCTTAGCAAGTTCAATAAGCTTATCTTCATCATAATTGGCGAAAGAATTCCCTAGATCAAGGCAAACAATGCATCTCAATAGCTGAGTAAACCTTTCAGCACGATGGTTTAAATCAACAATAATTTGATCAAGTACCACATTAAATATTTCATTGCTGAAATGATCAACCTGTTAACATGGACCCAACAACAAATACTCCCTTGTAGCAGCATCCCTAATGTTTACATCCAATTGTTCGATTGGAGTGAGAATCCCAGGGTCAGCAACAATCACATTTGGAGCAAGCACAACATTATTTTGCCAATTGTTACTAGCCTCGGTTCCTGCTGTTTCTAGGGGTTGGATGGACTCACTGCACCGGACTTGGTAGAAAATAATGGTATTAATGTTCAGGTCCTCTTCATCTAGGAAATCAAACAAATTTCTAATTGACTAATTGCTATGAAATGCAGAATAAGAATGCAGGTCGAAGGTTAGAGAGGAGACTCACCTGGATTTGAGGAATCAGGCTCTTCTGGCTGCTGCCGTCGGCCCATCGCCGGCTCGATGCCAATGCGCGCCACCGCCGCCCCCTTCCACCGATGTGATCGATGCTGCGAGAGGAGAGGGAAGGACGAGGCAGCGTGATGCAACGCTCGTGTGAATGGTGGTGCGTGAATCGTGATAGGCGGCAGGGGGAGAGGAGAGGATGTGGGAGACAAAGTGTTGGCTTCTGGGCTGTGACCTATGATGGGCTGCTCGGCCATGGGTGTTTGCGAAAGTAATAAGTTCATTTCAGGTCTCTCAATTTATCACCGAGTTTGAAATTTGGTCCCTTCACTACAAGGTATAACACATCTCGCAACATACAAAACCTGGTCACATTTAGTTCCAAGGTAGTATTACTCTCTATTTTGGCTGACGTGGTGGCTGAATCAGTGTGAAACCCATATGTCAGGGCGTTTTGGTCTTTAAAAACAAATAAAATTTGGTCGATCCCATGTCAGTGACACAACCTCTCCTTCTCCTCCCTCTGTTTCAACGTTCTCCAACCCGGAGGACACATGCTGCCGACGAGACGGGCGGTGACCAGACTCCCTCCAACCCGAAGCTCCACACCGCACCGGCCATGAACCACAAGGGAGCCACCGCCTCCACCAGCGCCACTGCCGCCAATTATTATTGCTCGCACTCCATCGGCGTCGCTGCCAACGCATCTCGGATAAGATCGATGCTGCCTCCTCCCCCTCTCCACCAGGGGAAACACAAGCGAGGCCAACTCCGACGTGGTGCTCCTCTTGGAGCGTGTAAAGCCGACCCACTACAGGGGCATAACATTCTGAAAATTCCTGACAATAAAAATCACTAAAATTTCGAACATTTTAATACTTTTGCATCATGTTGGTTGTTAAGATTGCGATTGCCTACCAAACCATGAATTGTCAAAATGAGGAATCAAATTAAAGATATACTCCCAGCAATAATTATGACTTACAATTATATTTATTATTAATCATTTGTGCACAAGACATGAAGCCAAATAAAGTACAAGTTAATTAATAATTCTTGTGATACAAATTACAAATAAAATATTAAATACTTGGATTATGTGATGTGTGTCATGACATCTAAGTGCATATGAAATAACCATTCAAATAAGTGGATCTCTATCTATGAAATAGTTTCACTAGGAATAATTAATTTGATATTACATATATTATATGAGTTCCAAATATTAAATTATAATGAGCTGTATAGAGGTCAAACCAATTTAAAAAGGACAACCCATCCACATGAAATGAAATGATGATCACCACTATAATGATCCTATTTGTAAATGAGTATTTCATTGGAATATGTAAGTTAATATTTGGAACATTTCATCAAGTCCCTTGTGACATAAAATCAACTCATGTAAAATAGTTGGTCACACTAATAAATTGAGCAAATATATCACTATATTTATAATGGACTTTTGGATAAAATCTAGATTTTGGACACTAAATATTAATTTGGGTAGCTTGGTAAATTTTCATATTAATGCCTTCATTTTTCCATTCTTCCTTCTCTTCTTTTTCTTTTCTTTTTCTAGGCGCACTGTTCATTATCCGCCATCTGTTCGAGTTGGTCCCCCACCCTAGCCGTGCCGCTCCAGCCGCTGTGCGAACCGCACACGTGCAACCATGCGCCGCATTGCGCCCGACCAAGCCAGCCCGTCCGCACCCGCGCCTCTCCCACGCCCGCATTGAGCCCCGCGCCCCCGCACCGAATCGCGCGCGTGCATCGCGCTTAGCCAAGACCCCGTGCCGCGCCAATGTCCCGTCGTCCTGCCACACCACGGCCGCCGTACCCCAACCCCCCTCCAGCTCACCTGCCAGCTAGGGCATCTTGCCGAACGCCCTACCCGACGCCATTATGCCCTCTCGCCCCCCCTCCTCCCTCCCCCCCCATTTCTAACCCTCTCTGGCTCAGCCTCATCCCTCTCAACCCTCTCCCTCACTCGCACCCTCCTGTCCCTCCCACTTCACGCGAGCAATCGCCGGGCCGCGCCGCACGCCCGGCGTCGAGCACGTGGAGTGCGTGCGCCGTGCTGTCATCATGTGACTCCATCAACCGAAGCCGGTGGCGGGGTAGGGTGGAGGCATCCACACGAGCTCGCTGCCACTGAGGAAGGAGACCGAAGACCGTTGGATTCCAAGGACCGCACGTCGAACACCTCCGGCAGCCACCGTCGTCGTTCGCCCCTGCGTTGACCGCACCACAACCGTGCGCCACCACCCTTCGCTGTTGCTCCACTTCGGGGTAAGCCCTCGCGCCCTGAGCACCTCCTAGTGACCTAGTAGCTGGCGGCCTCCTCAATTTGGGGTGCGTGCCACCGTGGCTATGCCATCCCCGGCCGCCACCATGCCGCCGTTGAGCTCACCGTGGGCAAGGCATCCCGGGGGCTATCCCCTTTCCATCTAGTTAGCAAAACCGAAACCCCAGCCGTCGTAGATGCTCCCGCGCCCATCAATTTGGCCGGAGACCGTCCCTTTCGCCCTAGCCACACGGTAGCCTTGATGTTACCAAAGATGATTTTTAGTCCCGGTTATTTCAACCGGGACTAAAAATATCCATCATTAGCCTTGATTGAGCATCCCGGTTGCACAATCAGGATGCAAAAGGGTTGCTAACTGGGACTAATGTCCCTTTCCCCAGCGGTGTATTTTGCTTACGATGACAGACCTGATCAGTGACGCTCACCCGTTCATCATCAACCAGAGGCAATACATTTGTGCATCACCATTTAAATCATTTATGCATGACTCATACGTGCTACTGGAATGATGGTTTGTTGTTTCACATATCAGCAGCAATGCACGGGATGCACTTCATGCACCGGCCACTTCGAATCAGCAGCTAGCGACGTACGCAAAAGTCTTGGTTCTCCGTTATTTAGTCCCACATCGGGGAGCCTGGCGCACGGGCGCGGGGTCATAAGAGCGACAGTCCGGATGTGAGGCGTGCCGAAACGAAGGGCACACCCGGCGGTAGGCATATGTAGCGATCCCAAAAACAAATATAACCGGAAGAAATCAAGCCCACCGCAGTTGCGACATGCGTGCGAGCGTGTGACACATACGCTTGGCAAAAAACTATCATTTTTTTTTCTAAAACTGGCTTGACCAGAATTATGAGCGTCCAGTACAGTCTGGTAGCATACCACGAAAAAACCATCATTTTTTTTCTAAAACTGGTTTGACCAGAATTATGAGCGTCGAGTACAGTCTGGTAGCATACCACCAGTTGGTTTTAGTTTGACTTACAGAATTTGAATTCGTAGTTCAAAACTCTGACACCTAACATAACGTTTTGGCTAGCTTAGAGTTTGGATCCGTATTGTCGTAACTCGTAAGAGGATGTTTGGTTGGTGTTACATTTTAATTTGGACCTGTTTAGTTCACAAACAAAATTTTTTAACGCTATCATATCGAATGTTTGGACACATATATGGAGTATTAAATATAGACAGTTCTCCAGGAAATTACGAGATGAATCTTTTAAATGTAATTACGTCATGATTTAACAATGTGGTGCTACAGTAAACATTTGCTAATGACGAATTAATTAGGCTTAATAAATTCGTCTCACAGTTTCTTCCCGAAATCTATAGTTTGTTTTATTATTAGACTATATTTAATATTTTAAATGTATATCTGTATATCCGATGTGGCATGCAGGGGCAAAGTTAAATCATAACTTGGCTAACATAGAGTTTGGATCCGTATTGTCGTAACTCGTAAGAGGATGTTTGGTTGGTGTTACATTCTAATTTGGACCTGTTTAGTTCACAAACAAAATTTTTCACGCTATCATATCAAATGTTTAGACACATATATGGAGTATTAAATATAGACAGTTCACCAAGAAATTACGAGATGAATCTTTTAAACGTAATTGCGTCATGATTTAACAATGTGGTGCTCCAGTAAACATTTGCTAATGACGAATTAATTAGGCTTAATAAATTCGTCTCACAGTTTCTTACCGAAATCTATAATTTGTTTTGTTATTAGACTATATTTAATATTTTAAATGTATGTCCGTATATCCGATGTGACATGGAGGGGCAAAGTTTTTTTTCTAACTAAACAAGCCCCTGGTCACACTTGAGATATGTTTTGAGTAGCTGTGTCACATACTCTCGGCATAGTAGAAAAAACTGGACCGGACACTGAACCGCTTAAGCTCTTGGTTCACTGGGTCACCGGTTGGACCGATAGGTCGAACGGTTCAATTGTTGAACCGGAAAGTATATCTATCATACATAATTTTACTTAAACAAGGTGACCAACTTAGCTTGGTGGTGTGGTTGATGCTCTTATAGCCCATCAGCCAAGGATCAATCCCCATTGTCGAAGAGTAATCCTCTCTAGCGGGCGGTCGTGAGACCCCCCCCCTTTGTGAGTTCGGCCGGGGGAAATGGCGCGATGATCAAGGGTCAACTTCCGCTTGGCCATCTAATCACTAGATCACTTGCGTGGCTGTGTGGGAGATCAAGGATTATACAGGTTCGGGCCGCTCTCGAGCGTAATACCCTACTTCTGTGTGTGGGATTATGGTGAATTCTTACAAGAGGTTTTGAGCTCCAGAGGGAAACCTAGCTGTCCTTCCTCCCGAGCTCAAGTTGTCTGAGAGTCGTCCCTTTTTTCGGTAGACAAGGTCCTCCTTTTATAGTTCAAAAGGATACCACATGCACCGTTTGCACCTACCCCTCCAAGGGAGGGGGGCCCACATGGCCCTATTCATACCGCTATCCTTTGCTTCAACCGGAAGCAACATGGTCGCCTGGCTTCAAGTGGGGCCCGGCGCCGCCCCCCGCCTGACACGGGAGACATCCCTATCATTCCCTATTAATTGTATGAAGACTTTGGCGGCTCACCACGCGCATGCGGCGTCCCTGGCAGCGTGCCGATGGGACAGGGCATACCCGCCCCCACTCCGCCTGACACAGGGCAGATCGTGGGGGCACTGCCCCCGTCCCGTCGCCTGTGACCGGTCACAGGCCGGTCATGCTCGATTGACATGGGTCAATCGAGCGGCGCCGCACGTCCCTCCACGCCGCGGTTGGGGCGCCGCGTATTGAAGGCGTGGAGCAGCGCCTTTCGCCTCGCCCGCTCTCCCCGCCACGTGGTGGTCAGGCGAGGGCCTCGGGGTAGCACACCCCGAAAGCCCGAGGGGTGCGACGTGGCACCCCAAGGCCCCCTGGCCACCTCAGCGCTAACCGAGGGGCGGGGGGAGGCGAGGTCGCATAGCCACGCCACTAGATGGGAAGAACACTTCCCTCTACTGTGCGTACCCTCGGGCCCATTTCACCGACACCCATGTGACGCACCATTTTCCCATTTTATGGAATAAAAGGGATCGGTCCCCATGTGACGCACCATTTTTCCTATTTTAAGGAATAAAAGGTAATTGGGCCACAATAATCCAAGTGGGCATTAGCGAACCGGCAGTTCAATATAGCCTTGTTCATCCGGTTCACACCGGATCGATTGCATGAGCGGTCCTTAAAGCAAACCGAACCGGTGGGAGTGCTGGTTCCGGTTTCTTTCGGTTGGACCGCCGGTCCGGTCCGGTTTTTTATACCACGACTCTTAGCCATAGAATAACTGGAACGAACAGTATATATTCATCTGCCGTAGAAACGGATAAACAGAGCAGCCAGAAGAAACACAGAGCGGCAAGAACAGTATATATATATATATATATATATATATATATATATATATATATATGTATATATATATATATATATATATATATATATCCCCCTTGCATTATTAATCCGACTCACATACCAAGTCAACCAAAACCAATCAGCAGCAGCAGCTAATTTAATTTAATCGATCAACCTCCACTACTGTTTCCTAGCGATAACCACATTACTCCTCCGGAGCCTCGTCTCCAGGTACTCGACCACGTCGCCGACGGCCGGGAGCACCTTCCTGGCGGCGTCGAGCTCGCCGAACCGCTCCGCCCACGCCGCCAGCAGCGGCGTCCTGGCGGCGTCGAGCACCCTGGTCCCCGTGAGCGCCTCGTTCGCCCTCGTCCGCGGGATCACCGACCCCAGCGTGACGTCGACGAGCCCCGGGGCGTCGCCGCCGAAGAAGGGCTTCCCCTCCGCGGCGGCGAGGGCCCCCTCCAGCGCCCCCACCGCGGCGGCCATCCGCGCCATCCCCTCCGCCCTCTCCCCCTCCGTGCTCCCCAGGTACGCCGGCCTCCACGACGCCACGAACTCGTCGTCGACGTGGGCGGCCCAGAAGCGGGCGGCGGCGCGGGCGAGGGGGTCGTCGGCGGGGGGGAGGAGCGGGGCGCCGCCGCCGCCGGGGAAGGGGAAGGCGTCGTCGATGTACTCGAGGATGACCCGGGACTCGCAGACGGGGCGGCCGCGGTGGATGAGGACGGGGACCTTGGCGTGGACGGGGTTGGCGGCGAGGAGGAGGTCGGTCTTGCGGTCGAGGTCGACGGCGACGAGGTCGTAGGTGAGGCCTCGCAGGGCGAGGGCGAGCTCCACCCTGGTGACGAACGGGCTAGGGTTCGTGCTGCCGAGCAGCTTCAGCTCGTGATCCGGTGATCCTCCTCCTCCGGCGGCGGCGGCGGCCATCGTCGTCGCGCCTCTGCCGATCGAGCGATCACGTGTTGGGCGGATTGGATTTTTAGTTATAGACGGGTGCTGGATCGAGATGGTTGTTCTGGAGTGGGAAGTCCGCGGGTGGATTGCGTCATCCGTGATGTCAGGACAGGCGAATGTATCTTCCAATGCGTCACTGTCGTCATCATCATCATCTTACAGGAATGCTGCAATGCACGTGGTGCATTTTGGCTTTGTGCAATCTCCGTTTGTTATCTTAAAATGGTTAGAGGTTGAATGGCTCTCAAAATGGTTAGGGGATTGGGCCTCTAGGGGTTTGAAATCACAATGTTCTAACTTCTAAACTGAGGGTGTGTTTAGTTCACACCAAAATTAGAAGTTTGGTTGAAATTAGAACGATGTGATAGAAAAATTGAAAGTTCATGTGTCTACAAAAGTTTTGATGTGATGAAAAAGTTGGAAATTTGAAGAAAAAGTTTGGAACTAAACAAGGCATGAGAACTGAGATTTGGAAAGGGAAAGGTCCATTCTACAACGTTCAACTCTTAAACCGAGTCCAATTAGCATATAAACGGTGAAGGAAAATGTTCATTTTAACCCCTCATCCTATCATCGAGTTTAAACTATGTTTTTAAACCATAATACCAAATATAATGCGTCCCTCATCTTTCAAAAACAGTATAAATATAGTCCCAAGTAGTAGGCATTTTTTTTGGCCGCAGACGTGGCACCAGAAACAAAAACCAATAATAAAATATCTTACGAGCCCCACATGCGGGTGATACAATGTTTTCTTCCTCCTCTCTCACCCTCTCCCCTCTCTTCCCCATCTCTGTCCAGGTCTCCAGCTCGTAGAATGGACCGGGTGGTGGCCGGCAACAGGCGGGGAGGAGATGGGTGACGGCCCCAACATCTACGAGCTCGACCACCACGAGGAGGTCCAGCGACCTCCGCTCCCGCCTCGCCGCCGCATAGTGGATGATGCATTGCTGAAATCAGTACATCTTGGTCCTAGCTAACGTGTTCCTCTACATAATGGATGACACATTGCTGAAATCTGAATCAGTTTGTGTACTCTGCATAATGCAAGTGGAGAACAGATTATTCAATCACGAATACAGTAATCACCCAAAAAAATTTGTAAAACCAATCAACTGGCCGAAAATTTGTTTGAAACAAAAAATCAATCATCCCAAATTAGTTCCTAACTAGGAGAAAACCAAAATAATCAAAGATTAAGAAAGCGCAGTGGCGGTTCACAGGAAATTCGGAGCAAAAAACTGAATCATCTGACTGTTCTTGATGCAACGACGATGCTACTTGCCTTCAAATTCATACTACTAAACGATTTTTCATGGGCTCATGGCGCCATCCTTTTATTTTTACTTACGGATTAAAAAACAAGTGCTTTAAAAAATTTATCACAGGGATTTAGGGCACGAGCAGCTAGCAAAAATAGATTTTCGCTCGTGGTCATTAAGCAACCGCCAACGAAAATTGAGTATCTAAAGAGCTATCTTTGCAAAATTATTATCGCCTTACTATAAATGGGCCATGGCCCACCACCCATTACCCACCCGCCGGCATCACCTTGACCTAGGAGACGAGCCCCTATAGCTTCGGAAACAGCGGGTGGTCGTCGACAAGGATGTAGTTGCAGGCGAGCATCATGAACGCATCGTTCAAATGTTGACGGTGGTTCTTGGAGGACGAGCAATGGGAGCGGAGGTCCCTGACCTCCCCGCGGCGATAGAGCTCGGTGAAGTTATTGCTGCCGGTCAGCTCTTCTCCACCAACCGTCGCCCTTCTACCAACCAGCAACCGCCCCCCGTCAGTTTTGCACGCCGGAGAACTGGAGAGATGGGGAAGAGAGAGGAGAATGTGAGAGACGAGGAAGAAGATGTTTCATCCCCATAAGGTTTTTTATTATTTGCTTCTACTTCTGATGCCGTGTCAGCCAAAACCACCTATACAATACTTCCTCCGTTCCAAAAAAATCTTAACATAGACAAAACATGCCCCTCCTAGGTTGAGTTATTTTTGGGACGGAGGGAGTACCGCCTTGGGACTATATTTGTACCGGCTTTAAAAAATGAGGGGCATGTTTTGTCTGGTTTCGTGGTTCAAGGAAACTTATTCAAATTCGACGTCAAGGTGAGAGACCTAGAGTAAACTTATTCAAACGGTGAAAGACACGTGAAAGTCCAAGAAATACGAACTGGGCCGGCCTGCTAACACACTCGCAGGCCCTCTTGCATCCTTTGCAAGTACACAGCTACGGCAATCGCGAAACCGCCACCGCGGTGTCTCATCGTCCTCGCCGCCGCCTCGTCAGTCGTCGCCGCCACTGCGCCACCCCGCCGCGCACGGCAGGTCGTCGCTGTGGCTTGGACGGCGAACTCTCTCGACGTTTCCACCGTTCTCGTTCGGGGCCTACGGGCCGAGGGGGCTTAGGTAGAATGAAGCCAATGCGCACTCGGGATCATGGTGCGGCCGAGGTGTTCGACGAAATGCCTCCCCGGCTGGGGTGGGGGGGGGGGGGGGGTCAGTCCGTCCCAGAGCGGCGCGTTGCAGCGACGGAGTGATTCGGGGAGACATCCAGGGCGCTGCTGCTCCGCCGGTGCCGGTCCCTTGACGCCCTTGTCGCATTCCTGCGTGCCTACTACGCACCGTCCTACCTGTCGGCTGAGGACGCCATGCGGATGATCGACGAGCACGCCGGGATCCCACTCTGCTCATAGCTGCAGCTCATCCTTGCGCTCAGTACCTCATCACTGATTTGATGCTATGCTGCCCAGTGCCATTGTCCAAAGCACCTAGTATGTAGTACATGTTTATCTCCTCTAATCGATTTCATCCAGTTTAGATTATGGAGTTGGCTGATCTAATCAATGACAGCGACTTGGTTCCATGTTCTTCCTCTTCTCCTGCAATTAGGTGGCTGCTATGGCTGTGAGATTGAAGGGTTTAATCTGGTGCACCCTGACACCGAAGATTTCTATGGGCACCTGGCTCAACATGAAGGTGATGCCTATTTCTGTAAGAGAATTCCTGCTCAAGAGTTCAGCAATCCATTATATGAGGATTGTGTACTCTTTGAGCCTTGAACACTAAATATTGTGTAGCTTTTCGTAGATAACTTACTCTGGTAGGGATCATGATGAGATTGACTTCTCTTTTGGCTATTCTGCTCTGGTTCGACATTCTGTACAGATTTTAGTTCTCCCTTTGATTTCACAATGTCTGTCAATAGCGTGTTTAAGATACAGTGATCTAGCTTAGTAGTAGATTCTTGTAAAATATGCAAATATAAATGACTTGGATGAATAAGAATTATATTGTTCGTGTACATTCGTTGCAACATGGTAATATGTTCTTATTCATGTTGTTGGTTACTTTTGCGAGTTGTGGCAAAGTTGAATGTTTCCTTCGGTAGGGGATAAATATAAGCTCTAAGTTCAGTTAAACTTCACTTATCTTATGGCATATAAGTGCAAGCGTGTGTATATTTCTTGTGTTACTTAAGCCTCCTATATTTCTGCATAATTGATATCCTAACAGTTAAGATTTATCGACAATAACTTCAGGAAAGATTCAATTCTGAGTCTATTTTGCCTGGGCCACTAGATGAGGATTGGATTTTTAGATAATGAAATGAGGATTGGATTTTTAGATAATGAAATGAGGATTGGATGCCTAACAAACACTATGAGACTGCAAGTTTCTTGGAGACAACTTTTACTGCTAGCAATTGTCAAAATGACATTGACCTATCTTTTGGCTGTTTTAGGTCAGTTTGGAGATTTATAACCTGAAGTCATCTGTATTGTAGGTGATTGTAAATATTGTAGAAGCCCATGTAGAGGCACAAACTACTTTATTTTTGGCTTTTGGAAATCTAATTTGACCTTATGGAGAAAGTTAGGCCATCCTTAGCTTATAATATTGCTATTGTAGTCCAATGCATGTTCAAAAGTAGCATCAGTATACTAAACAGAACAGATACTTATTCTACTGCTTTGTATTTTTCAGGTAAGATCCACCTTGGACTAGTCCATGCTATATGGCTACAACAACGCAGGCATTGCAGTAGTTCTCTGATAGGGAAACCAACTTATTAGTTCTATTCTGTTAATGTTCTTCAGAGTTCAAATACCTTAATGAAGAGCTTTCTTATAAAGAGGGAGAATTTTTACTATTCATTTTGTTATTATTCATGTCAACTATGGAGGTGATGAGGAAAATATACCCTGGCCAGGATATAGGATGAACCTGTCCCACTTTTTTATCTTTAGTGTACCTCTCCAACCACTACCAAGGCTAACATGGTGGCCTAGTATATATCAGACCAGGAAATGGGGGAGGAGTGTTCTAAGGAAATACACCTAGTACAGGTACCAACAAAAATGTGTTAGTGGGCCCATATGTCAGTGAAAGGTGGGTTCTATACTTTAAAGGGTGCTAAACACTAGAGGGAAGAACAAACTTAGTGTTTGTACTGTGGCACTTCTTTGCATTGGTACATTGAGTACAACATTGTGCATGCCATGTAAGCCCTTCAATGATCAAAGCACACCTCAAGTTCATTTCATTGGAAAATGATCATTAAATCTTCAGCATTTAATTTGTCAATATTTTTATCATGCATATCTGTCTTTCATAGTTATTGATGCATGTGTAACTGATTATGATAACTTGCAATCTGTTTAGTTTAAAAACTTACAATTTCTTATGCACAAGATGTTTGGCAGGGTGCGCCAGGCTGGTGAGCACGCAAGTTAACAACACAACTGCTATATTTTCAAACATATCTTTCAGGTAAGTATCTGTCAGAGTGCTTAGTGCTTAATTAATTCACATGATGTAGAATTAATTGAACGCCTTTTTCTTCTTATATATGTGATCCTTTTTTTTTGTAGGCATCAACTCTGCTGACTGCCTGATCAGCTCTACCAAAATATGGATCTGCAAACGCAAATGTCATATGTTGGCAGTTCTTTTAAAGAAAAACAGATGTGCAGGAAAATTGTGAGCAAACTCGTAAGGTAAATAGCAGTCTCTGCTTCTCCGGTAAATGTAGTTGATTTTCTCATGGAAATATGGCAAAATGATGTTTACATTGTTTTACGCTGGAGGTCTAGTCTCCAGCTTTAATAAAATCAAATGGTGCAATCTTCTAATGAGATGGATTGTTTTCCATCTCCAGATTCACATATACTACATTAAGCTTTTAGCTCAATGCTTTCTCGTTCCCAAACTGTTTATGCTTTTATGTATTTCACCATATATACTCCAAATCCTTAAGAAGGTGATTGTGTTGGGGACCCAATGAAGGCTTTTTGTGATTCTATGAAGTTTTAGTAATACACTTGGTACGAATTATAATGTAGTTCATGACATAACTCAAATAAAATTTAGCTAGTGATCGAGCTTTTCACTGCAATATAATCTGCAGCTTGTCAAGTGGCATCAGTGAGAGCATGACAGGGCACCACGCCATTAGAGCTTTACTTGCTTGGCTGTGCTCTGCTCACCATTGCCATGCACTCCATTTCTTGCTAAGTGCTAACCCATTCTGGATTTGTTTATCTTCAAATCCTGAACGTACCATTGCTTTCTCCTAGAGCTACTGGCTAAAAAAAAAGATGGATAAATTAAATTTGGTAGGTACTGGCACTTTGAAAGTACAAGCACTGGACCAATATCAACTGGTTTTTACCAGAGTAGTGCACTCCCCTAATTGTCCTTTGACCTTGAATTTTATAATTGAAGTCATTTCCTATCCTCCACTGCTGATATCAGTCGATGGCCTTTGCACTACCAAAAGAAGTTTCACTAGACAGCCATTCCTCAAACATAATGGTGTTTGGCTAGACAACCATTCCTGGAACAGAATCTTTGTAATATTAAATTATGCATGTTTTATGATGGAACAAGTGATCCCGAAATGTGCAAATCCACATGTAAAATATTATATATCTAAATAAGTGATTGTCTAGTGAAGCTACTGTTTCAGCCAAAAAATCCTCTTGCAACCAAGGGGATTTCCTTGGGCAAAACAGCCTCATGAAAAACCATTTGTTCTTCCTATGTTAATAACATGTAGTACAATCTAGCCCAAAGACCACAATGTTCCATAGCCATGCAATGACCTCTTTTTCCTTTTCTATGATTGTCGTACATTTCCTTCCTTTCAAACATAAAATTTCTTCTTCCAAAAATCATTATTAATTACAGAAATATAAAATACTTTTCATATTAACCCGGCTAAAAGTACTTTTCATATTTCTTCTATTATGCATAACAAATTAGATAAATAGCCATCTTACATAAAAATCATTATTAATTACAGTAATATAAAATACTTTTCATATTAACCTGGATAAAAGTACTTTTCATATTTCTTCTATTATGCATAACAAATTAGATAAATATCCATATTACTTTTTTTTAGAGAAGGGTTTTTTTTTTTTACCTAGCCTCTACATCCAACCGGATGTATGTAGCCATTTTAAATTGGGAACTTAGCCCATTAAACAACCTAATAATTCTCTCCTATGGAGATTTGAACTAAGGACCTTGCGGTGCAACGCAAGTCACTGCAACCACTAGACTACATGCCCTTTCGCAGGCATCTTACATATACAACTTGTATTGCTTTATATTACTAAAAGTCCATGCAAACAACACACAGGGTATCATCTATATTATGTACCTTTCCAAACTGTAGCAAGAAATTGATTTTATTACATACGACTTACAAGGTAATATGGATACATGTGTGTTGTACCATATATACACGTGTTAGAACTCGTGCGACCTGTTTTACTTCATTTCAGAATACAATGTATTTTCCTCCAAAAAATAATACGACGTGTTTGCACCTTTTTCTTTTTTTTGAGAACTCAAGGAAGGCCCAAGTGCGCCACCTTTCAGAAATAATACATTCATGTGCGCCACCTCAGCCGTTTTCAGAAGGAATATATGGAAAAGTATTGTCGACCATCGTTCTTCCCATGTCAGTGAGCTTGGCTGGGCATACGGTGATCCTCAACCCACAAGACTTTAGAGACGGATGGGGGTGTTCCAGATACATGGTCAGGCCTATTGTGCATCATCCGCCTTTCGAGTTGCTGGCCTTCATTTTTATCCTTGCTACCAATCAATCTTAATAAAGGTTGCACTCAGGTAGAAAAGTACAGAAACTGGTAAAGATGTCTCAATTCCCAACAGTCTTTTCTCCATTTCTCTGTTCCTTCCAATGACAATTACACCCAAGGACAAGACAGTAAGGTCAAACAAAAACCATCTTTATTTCCTTAACAAGACTGAAGGAAATGCTTTTTTTTTTTTAGAAAAAGAAACCTCACACGCAAGCACAAACTAAAGTTAGACTCCTGCACGGCTTTACTAGCTTAGCTCCATGGCCAACAGCCGATCGACCTCACCGGCCAATCTTTGAAGCCGGAGATGAGCATGGGTGCACCCTCTCACTGGTCCATGAGTGGCAACTCTTCTCATCAGCAGCCATGAACTTGTTCTTCTCCTCCTCTTCTCCTTCACACATGCCCTTCTTGCTCTTCTCCTCCTCTTCTGCCATCATCTTCTTCATCTTCTCTTCATTGGTCCTCCTGCACCTGTCCTGCTGCACATGAATCTGTGCATAGCTGAATCCTATGGAAGCCATGCTGATTTAGAGGGACAAGAATGATGCAGACTTGTTGTGGTTAAGTGTGTTTGGGTAGAGATCTGTGTGTGCATCAACCTGTGTATTTATAGGTGAGAGCCTGAATTATTGGGGGTGGTGGAGCACTGCATGTTTGATAGTATTATATCTGTGGGCTTATCTTCTTTTGGTGGAAGGTGTTAGGTGTCACTGAAGGGGGACTTTGGGGGCTCCAATTATTCAGAGCCTGAGTTGAGTTGGAGATGGTTTTGGGATACCTGTGGGCAAAGTACAGGGTTTGGGCTTTGGGTTGGATGGGTTCAGACACTTGCCTTTTTCTTCTTTTTTTTCTCTCGAATGCGCAGGAGGGCTGCGCATCATTATAATAAGAATAAAGAAAATAGTCTAAAAAGACTCAAAATGGACACTTGTCCTCTTGCTCACCTGAATTTGCTGCCTGCCTGCCTGGTGTTTGTGTAGATTGTGACTTGTGATTTATCACTTTCCTTCTAAAGGGTCATCTTTGGGACCAAACAACATAGATATGGTATGCTGACTTCTGTTTAAATGTGTTTGCATATTGAAATAAATATTGATGTTAGATTCCCTGAAAAAGTTGTCTTGTGTAGTATCTTGTGTGGGGGAATTGGGGAAATCAAGTGTGTGGCCTTGTTTGGAAATATGGTATGCACCTAATTTCTTTGGATTGGTAGAGAATTGAGAACTGAAGTCCCTGCCAAACCAAATGGATTGGGTTCAATCCACCTTCAAAACATGTCCTGAAGAGGTAGGTAAGGTAGGTAACTATGTGTGCAATTTTGAATGGCATGTTGTTTTGCAGGAAGGCATGGGCACATGGCATGCAGAGATATCATGGCTAATATTTTCTATATGTAGGGATTTTGTAGAGCCTCCTTGTAGGGGATGAAATATCTGGTCAAAATTTTGAGGAGATTTGGATTTCAAGTGGTATTAATAAAAAGCTATTGGATTTTGCTATATATCTGATGAGAGAGATAATTAAGGGCCTGTTCACTTTGATGTCATTTTAACCATACCATTTTTTGGCAAAGTTATCAAAAAAATGTCTATGTTTAATTTGTTGCTAAATTTAGTCAATACATAAGAAATCCTGCTAAAATTTTAGCAAGAATTTTGGCAATATTACCATCTTGCCAAAATTTTGGCATTGCCAAAACTTGGTAAGGTTTAGTTTGACTACAATCTGAACATGCCCTAAATTGATGCGCTCCTTACTACAGCCAGCAACAATTGACTAAAAGGTGGCATAGAAAACAGACAGCAGAATAAGTACTGATCAAGTCACATGAGTCACAAGCTCATTGAATAAACTTATTCAGAAAAAGTTTCCTGGTCTGAATAAACTTTTTTTCTGGATGTACTTTGAATACATACATGCTCATGGAACTGAGTTGTGTTTATGGCTTCATCCCTTCCAGGTATTCATCCAAGCTTTATATGCGCCCTTGATATGCAAATATCCTTTTTTTTTCTGGAACAGTGAGAATATTCTAGCTGGTCTCTCTCTAGTCTCTATTACTACTGATAGCAAGTAGGAGATAAGCTTTTGCTTCCTGAAATGGCTGAATTATTGTTGTTGAAGAGCTAGAAGTGGATATGGTACAAATCTTTCTGTGACTTTGCACTGTGGTGAGCTGCTGAACTTTTTTCCAAGTGGAGGGTGGAAAAAGCAAACTGGTGGGCCAAAAAAAACGACCTCCACTGCTGCTGGGTTGGGGTCATTAGGATCAGGATTCAGATGGTTGATATTTCACAATTGTTGGGACTGATACTTCGCAATTATTGAGTACGTTTAGGAATTTGGATGTCTATCTGTTCCTACTAGTACCTCTGTAGCGTGTGATCATTGATGTCAGGTCAACTTGAACAGTGTGTCAGTGTGGCATTAATTGTACCAGCATCAGTGAAATGGGCCAATCAAGTACTAGGTGGTGATGATAATTGATAATGTTGTGTTACCTTCATGTCTGCTTCATTTGTGACTCACAGCATACGAGCTTAATAAGCTTAACGAGCCAACTCGCAAACTGAACCAAGCTAACCTTTTAGCTTATTAAAATTAACGACTCAAACTAGCTGAGCTGGCTCATTATCCACCCCTGTTTGTGAGGTTTTAATAATGATGATACAAATAGTAGAACAAACGTCAAAAGCCAGATTCTGCTGGCTTTGAGCTACAGGCACATAATTGAAGCTAAAACTATGTTTGAACTGCAGCTGTACAGTATCATGTGCCTTTCTGCATATTTGACTAGAAAACAGGACATAAATAAATTATAAACATTTGCAGATAGCCTGATAAGCACTCATATTGCTATTATCTTTTTTCATTAAGCTTGTTACAAAGTGCGTAAACAAAATAGATACAAAAATTGGGAGTATGATACCCACAGAACCAAAACAGGATCAAAGTTAAAGCAAGTTCAGGAAAACATAGCACATAACTGGGCATGAATTCCGAATACTAAGGGCAGATACAAAACTAATGGAGCAAGATTTTCTTTGTGATTATTCTTCAGCAGTCTAGTCCTTCGGTTTGAGGAAGGCTTGGCAGCATGAAGCTAAAGCGTCCGAAGCGTTCAGCAGCGGTGGAAGAGTGAACGGTGGGAGGACGTCTCCCTCCTGATGCTTAATGGTTGAAGGTTTACTGGCAAGTGTCGCTGCCATGGCAGCCTGCTGCTTATTGAGTCCATCCATGATGCAAGAGAATGCCGCGAAGGTGACACAGCTGTGGAACATCGCTTGCGGTGCACCTGGTTCAGGAGAATGAAGAAAAACATATGAGCATATAGTGACTGTTACTCTTCATGATTCAATAAAAAGGGGCATGTAACCTGAGTCAAACAGAAGTGAATGTACTGAAACAGAGCGAGGATTGAAGATTGAGAAATAAGAAACAAATTTGGGAATATGAATATCCTTGTAATTCTATATTATGGTTTTGGTATTTGATCACCACAACTGCCAGAGTTCACTGGCCTACAGTGATTCAGTGGAAAGCAATGAAACAAATCTTGCCATTCTTTCATCTTTTAGCTTAGATACTGTCAGCCAAAAAGTAGTGACCCCAATCATTCTCCAGGTGACTTGACTTAAAAGTTAGATCCCCATGTTTTTCCACTTCTTTTACAGTCGAATGATTTCCTAATGAGCTATTTCGGAAACAGAAAGCAGCAGCACAGTACTACATTATTGTTCTTGTTATTGTTATGCGGCATGTCATGTGCATGGTTCAGAAGCAAGGACCTAGGTGTTGCACCAATAAAGGAGTTGCACAAGTACATGGTAGCCGTGACACTAGCATGACAGGAAACAGCTAGTAGGCATGGGTTTCTCATGAGTCATGAAGGCAGTTGTTAGTATTATTTCTGGTTATAATTTTTCATGTACTGCCCTCCATACCAAATAAAAAAAAAATGGACAACTTCTGGAGATGAACCTCGACTAGTGCTTGTCCAAATTCATTCTCAGAAGTTGGTTTTTTTCAGGACAGAGGGTGTATCCCTGAAGGATACAATAAGTAAGATATCCCCTACGGGTATCTATTGAAAGGGGCTGATTTGGATGTATTAGATCAGGCACGGATATTAGAGACTCTTCTTTACCCTGGTGCTTTCTCCTCAAGCCATGCCATTTAGCATCTAATCCTTGGCCCACAGAAAATTGGTGTAAGAGTCAAGTGCTGCACCATCTATCTCATGAAGTCCTGAGCTTCATGATTCAATTACATGTCGTATCCAACCTTTGATGGCAAGGGATGCACGAATCGCTTTGAGCAATTCTTCAAGGTGCAGTGGACATTGGAGGAAGAAATGTGACTCGCATCACACATCAGACACAGGATGCCATCTGCTTTACCAGCAGCTAGAGGGCACGCTCCAGGTGCAGACCTGGCCTCACTCCGTAAGGCACATCAACCTCCATTTCAGGCCCACCTCATGTCTCACTATCTCCGCTAGTCAGCCCTCCCACATTGCTCACTGCACTCTCCACCATGGCAGGCAATGAGGATATTTCACCACCAAGGGCCTTGCTACTGTTCCATGCACATGACATGCCATAACACTACACCTTTCTTATGGAGGTAGTTATCTAGTTGGTTAGGTCCACATCAGTCCTATATTCCTCCTGATGTACGGAAATGATGTACTTGCTCTGGAGTGTCTTAATTGTCATGAATAGCTTTGCTTAGCAAAAGTAACTACCCACATAGGAATTATAAAAACATAGTAGGAAAACTAATTTTACTACAATAGCTGTACAACTTTTTTAATGTCAATGGTTTTCTCTAAGGGGTTGTTTGAACTTTGAACATCAAATTTTCACATAAGTTCAAAAAATAAGATTTGTTGTTAAAGTGATTGAGATTCTAACAACCTAAAAGAATATTCATTTAGATAGGATAAATACCCAGGATAAGAGAACCACTCCCACCTGTTTTTCACAATAGTAAAAATATAAAAGACAATTGTACAAGTTAACCAAACTACAACTTAAAATCTGTAGTACAAAACTAATGGAAAATGCATTTTGGCAAAATCTATTAACAAAATATGACATCAAAAGGACCACTCAGAAATCAACTCATGAACTATATTATTGTCTTTCATTAGATTGACTAAAAACCAATTCAATATTCCATGAATGTTCATGGACTGCAAGGCTTTATCAAAAACCAGAGGGACCATTGGCATATTGTTTTAATGAGAGAGAAATACTGGACTGATGATGCATATGGTGTGTGATGAAGGGCAGCCTGCATGGATTTAGGTCCACATTCCCTAACCCATTAACTCTGTTGAAATTACATTAACTCGGCTAAAATTACAGAAGAATAAGATACAAGTAATTGCAGGCTTGCAATTCTGTTGAGTGGCTCTAGTAAAGCATACAAGCAATCTAACAAAAAGGGAAATCTATACAAGTGGCCATGATACTTATTGGACTTTGCAGATCTGCCATTGCTTTTTTGGCTATCTATTCATCCACTAGTTTAGACAAAAGGTGACAAATGTGCAATTTTCACCCCGAATCAATGGCAGATTTACAGTTGGTAAAAAAAAACAACAACAGATTGATGAACGGAGCATGGGCTACTGATAAAGCTGCATAAGCATTGACAGTTTTCTAGGATATCATGTAAAATATCAGAGCACACGAAGACATTTGTTATGATGTGAGTAAAGCATTTTATGGACATCCTAAACACTATAAAATTTTATGTGGTTTGGCATGTAATTAAACAGGATTTTTTTTAATGTCCACTTATGTGTAACACACAGTGACACAGAATTCACAGTAATTGAAATAATATTTTTCTAGGGACCATCATATACAGAAAGGTCTGCACAGCAAGAAGATATCAAAAGATTTACTTGATGAAACTCAGCAGTAGATGAAATTAGACATATCTCCAAGAAATAATATAAAGTATCATCAATCATCTAATTGTTGAGGGGTCCTGGAGTACTATTTCAGACAATAAATGTGCTACAAATAAGCTACTGAATAAAGACAATTCTATGTAAATTACCTGGAAAGCTCAAAGCAAGTCCTGTGCAACAACCAGCCACGCCAGCATTGATCACTGCCACAGAAGGGATAGTCATAACTAAATATTTACTCTTTATATGCTAACAGAGTAATGAAATTAAAGTTAAGCACATACTATCATCTTTCCCTCGCAATCTTCTCAGCAAGCACAGGATAAAACTTTGGACACCAGACAGTGCTGCGAAAGTCTAATACAAAAGTTCTGTCATGAGCAACCTTATGTACGGCTGGACAGCACTAATTCTATATCCAAATATTGAATAAATTATGATCAATTAACCTTGGCAGAAGATCCAGCACTGCTGAGTGAACCCTTCATACCTTTGTTAGTGAGCAAACCTTGCCCTGGGGAAAAAGTCATACAGGTACTGTAAGTAAACACTTGTAGAATAAAAACTAAATACTCAAGCATATTTTAGCATCCAAATTGAAAGTGATTTAAAAGAACCTTGCGCGATGGCATTTTGCAGACTTTACTATTTGATTGCCATTATGGATAATCTTTTTCCAATTATATAACTAAGGATCTTTTTCTTTAGTCTTGCTAACATTCCATATACCATAATTAGTTTGAGCGCACAACATGATTCCTTTTAAAGTTCATGTTTATCCTGCTTCTAAAATTTGGAATTATAACCAAGTTATTTTCGCTCTAGATAGTTCTATCAGGTGCTCTCATACTTTTACTTGGAGTAAAGTGCATTGGCGGTCCTTAATCTTGTAGGGTTGTGTCATATAGGTCCCTAAACTCCCAAAATGCATATCCAGGTCCCAGAACTTATCAAAGTGTATCATCTAGGTCCCAAATCGACACATCCCCTCTAGGATCCTATGTGGCGCTGATGTGGCATGCCACATGGACGTGACGTGTCCTTTTCTTTTTTTTTTATTCTTTTATTTTTCTTTTTCTTTTCCATTTTCTTCTCATTCTTCTTTTTTTCCTTTCTTATGCTAGAGAAAGGAGAATAAAGGGGAAAAAGAGAAGAAAAAAAGAAAAAGGAAAAAAATTAAATGGGTCCCATTTGTCAGTCAAAATAATACCACGTCATGTCCATGTGGCATGCCACATCAATGCCACATAGGATCCTGAAGGGGTTGTGGCGATTTGGAACCTAGATGATACACTATAACAAGTTCTGGGACTTGGATATGCATTTTGAGAGTTTAGGGACCTAAATGACACACCCCTACAAGTTTAAGGACCGCCCGTACACTTTACTATTTTACTTGCGATATTGAAGAGGAAAAACAAGCAAGTACTCACCTCTTCTCCAATGAGCTATCCAGATTCTGGCACAGGTTAACAACAATCCTCAAATTTTTTTTAGTTACATGCCCCCCTCAACTTGCTTCAGTTTCAGTAGGACTCTCTACTGGTCAGGTTTGTCAGGACATTTCAGATAGACTAAGAACAGACCTATGACAATGTTCTTTGGGGGAAAGAAAAAAACTCGCATTGTCATTTCCAAGCTTTTATCCATTTCAATTGAGAATCCGTGTCCAGGCAACGGCACTAGAACCTCCAGATAATATAAAAAGAAGTACATTTTCCATGCCATCTACAGTTAACCCCCAGTACCAAGAACAGATTCGCTGTTCATCCCAAAAAATCCCCCCCCCCCCCCCAAAAAAAAAAACAAGAAGAAGAAGAAGAAAGAAACAAAGCCAGAATTCTTCCTATAATAAAACTCGAGCTAACATCTCAAAACTAACCGCTAGTTAGACTATATCAAGTCATCAACAAACAAAGAGGATATGGCAAGAAGAGAAGAGAGAGACCGTATCCGACGAGGGAGCCGACGAAGGCGCCGGCGGCGAGGTCCCCGGCGGAGCGGGCGAGGCAGACGACGGGCGCGGCGAGGTGCGGGGGCTGCCCGCCGCCGACGCCGAGGTCGTCGTCCTCCCACTCGCGCCCGCGCCCTCGACCTCGCCTCGCCGCCATCTCTCTCCTCGCTTTGCTGTTTTGCTTTTTTGCTCTTCTCCTCGACTCTTCGTTATCTTGATGATTGATTCCTCTCCGTCATGGGGTTTATCTTTGTCGGGTTGTGGGCCCGGGGATGGGGGCTGACGTGGAGCTGGCAAGTGGTCCCCAATCGATTAGTTTTTATTTTCTCATAAAAAATAAATCCAAATACCCCTATAAAATTCACTTTTGGACAAAAGACTCCCCTCCCCCCCAAGTTTGATCCATCTCTTCTTGCTTTCCACTTGCCGCTAGTTTTCACTTGTTTTTTTCCAATTTCTCGTGCCTTAGTGGGCAACCGACATGGAAAAATAATAGATTTACCTCGTGTCATCTTTTGCAAGGGTGGGTTCCACCTACCTCCCGCGAGCATGGCGGCAAACCTCGATGCAAAACACAATGGTGGTGTTCGAAACATATACAGCGCAGTGCGATTCATGGTTGGTAAGGAGATAGGTGCCCTTTAGAGGTGACATGGGGTAACCTCATCTCGTCTTGCTAGAAGCCCACGCGTCACGAGGGATTGAGCCAATGATGATAAGATCATTGAAAAGTAATGGAAGTTGAGAAACTGGAAGAAAAATTGAACTTGTAGGGGAAGTTTTATACAAAAGTAAGATGTAGGGAGAGGGTAGAAAGACCGTGACTTATAAGGGGTATTTGATTTTTTTTCCTTATTTTTATAAAGGATCCAATTGATTAGTTTAAGGTCGTCTCCAAGAGTTTACTTCATGTCACTTATTACCTTGTCAAGTTAATCTAGTTTGATTGAGTTAGAGGTTCGTTTAGTCTATGATGCGCTTATCAAAGATTCCTTCACGTCATGTAGGTCCCGCATATCAATGACATATAAAAGTATGAAAGTTTGCCTTATACTAGTTTAAGGTGTTGCTCTCAAATCCCATATCCACCGCTATTCCTTTCGGTCAATTTGCATATCTACCTCTCCTCCTGTCCTCTATATTCCACCTTACATATCTATTGCGACACCATTCTCCATTCGCTTTTTCCTAGTTGTGGTGGAGCTCCATTCCACAACCTATCTACTCCACGCTAAGGTTTACAAAAATGTGCGATCACCATGGTTATCGCGTGCAGTAAGCTTCTCAGTTTTTAAAATCACGGTATGCATCGCGGTAACCGCGTGGTTACCGTGATAACCACCAAACCGTGGGGTGACGGTAACCCCACCCAAAACGGTTTGGTGAACTCTGCTCCGCACTGCCTCTATTAATCAGCTTCAATATACACCTCTAACAACTTTACCAGCCTCGATACACACTAAAGTTGTCGTCTCCACAATAGTCGCCACAAGAAGCCATTTGATCTATGAGGGAAGAAGACGATATTACATTAGAGGGTTTATATGGTGATAGCGATTGTCCATGGATCAGATGAACTTAATCGGCCACATCGTACTCCTCGGTGATTACCTTTGCACTCGAACTGATTATATTATGCTGGAATGCTGGAGTTCACGGCTTCAATGTATTACATATGACCAACTTTGTGGTTGCTCATTTACAATATTGATCGTATCTGTTGTATTAGCACGGATATATTACTGGTGAGGAAAAGTGATGAACTCACAATCAGGGATATACATAGCAAACTCAAGTATAAATATGTTTGTCAAGCTTTCACCACAATTAGTATTGTACAGTTGTTTCTCCAAAAAGATCGGTTATTGAACTCTTTTCTCAAAACAGCCAAACTTTTCTACCAGAACACACATTTGGGCATGTTTGGGGAGCTTCTAGCTGCTGCAGCTTCTCCCATAATTAAAAGCTCCCCCAAACAGTCCAGCTTTTGGTCCAAATTTTGAGAAGCTGTAGTTGTAGAATCCAGATAATGAACTAGAAGTCAGAAGTTGGAAAACCTAGCTTTTCCAGATTCTCAGAAGCTGCTACCAACCAGCTACTTATCAGAATCTTAAGCTCCCCTAAACAGGCCAAAAACTTCGTATTCAAAAATTTATATATTGTCCATTATATAGAATTTCTAGAGAATTGTTTAGAATAGCTCCCCGTGCGATGAAAATTGCAGGCATTGAGGTGAACCCAGTTTCTGGACAAGAAAACATTGAGAAGCAGCTTTCAGACAACACCAATACTGTTTCCCAGGGGGTCATGGGTGAAAGTGCATTAATCCTCCTAGTGGGTTTTGGTGATTAATGACAAATGTGGTTAAGGGTCTAATGAGCTCATTGAGTAGCTTTCAGGTGCATTAGTCCAAGGTGTGAAAGATGGATGCTTGGAGACCCCTCAAAAAGTACAAAATCAAAGTCCGGGGTTCGAGGATCCAAAGTTGGCAAACCATGTGTACAAGCTCCACAAGGCGCTCTACGGGCTCAAACAAGCCCCTAGAGCTTGGTATGAATGTCTCCGAGATTTTCTTTTGAAAAATGGTTTTGAAATTGGAAAGGCAGATACTACTCTCTTCACTAAAAAAATTTAAGAGTGATTTATTCATATGCCAAATTTATGTCGATGACATAATATTTGGTTCTACTAATGCCTCTTTTTGTGAAGAATTTAGTAGTATCATGACTAAAAGGTTCGAGATGTCTATGATGGGCGAGTTGACCTTCTTCTTCGGGCTACAAGTGAAGCAAGCACTAGAGGGCACCTTTATCTCTCAAACCAAGTACGTGAAAGACATACTCAAGAAGTTTGGGATGGAGGATGCCAAACCTATCAAGATGCCCATGCCTACTAATGGACACCTAGACCTCGACGATAATGGTAAATGTGTGGACCAAAAGGTATATCGCTCCATGATAGGATCTTTACTTTACTTATGTGCATCTCGTCTCGACATCATGCTTAGTGTTTGCATGTGTGCCCGTTTTCAAGCGGAGCCTAAAGAGTGCCATTTGATTGCCGTCAAGAGAATTCTAAGATATTTAGTTCACACTCCTAATCTTGGCTTGTGGTATCCTAAGGGTTGTGGCTTTGAGCTTTTGGGCTATTCCGATTCGGATTATGCCGGGTGTAAGGTTGATAGAAAAAGCACAACTGGGACTTGTCAATTCCTTGGACGGTCCCTTGTTTCTTGGTCCTCTAAGAAACAAAATTCCATTGCCTTATCCACCGCCGAAGCCGAATATGTTGCCGCCGGTTTTTGTTGTGCCCAGCTCCTTTGGATGAGACAAACCCTAAAAGACTTTGGCTACAACTTCACCAAGATCCCACTTCTATGTGATAATGAGAGTGTCATCAAAATAGCCAACAATCCCGTCCAACACTCAAGAACCAAGCACATAGACATTCGCCACCACTTCTTGAGAGATCATGAGACTAAAGGAGACATATGCCTTACCCATGTGAGAACCGAAAGCCAATTAACTGACATTTTCACTAAGCCTTTAGATGAGAAAAGATTTTGCGAGCTTAGGAGTGAGCTCAATATCTTAGACTCTCGTAACATTAGGTGATGGGTGATTGGCTAATTCATAGCCAAACATGTGTCACTAAAATGTAAATTAAAAAAAAATTGAGTTTTTGTGTCTTGAGATCACTTCTTGTGTAGAAGATGATCTTGATACCAGGAATAAAGCTCAAACATTCCCTCTATTATCCAAAAACCCTTTTGTGAAATTTTGCGAAAATTTTTGTGTGTGTTTTTATTGCGAAAATTTGGTTTTTATCCCTTCTTGTGATGTATATTGACCATTGTTATGTAATGTTGATTGTTGGCTGGTCATATACATCATAAGTCTCTTTATGTCCATAGGTTTTCATTTCCAAATCATTGAATTCTCATCTATTCTATTGAACTTGGGCCTGACTGCCCTCTGTTCTGTCAGGCCGGAAGTTCCGGTCACTCCAGTCCGGAACTTCCGGGGGTCGGGGGTATAAATACCCAGGGGGAGCCCAAGCCTGGTCTCTCTCTCCTCACTTCTTCTCCTCCCCGATTCCCAAACCCTAGCCGCCGCTACAATGCTCCTCTCGGCGATTTTCTCTTCCAACAGTGGAAATTTGATTCCTCTTCGTGGAATCAACCACATTGGTGGCTAGGAGGTTCATCCCGTGATCGATTTGCGATTTCCCCTTTCAAGGTAGCACTTTTGATCTTCTCTTTTGGTTCATCATGTTTTTGCCCCGATCTCTATATATGTGAACCTAGGGAGAAAACCTTTTAGATAGAATTGTTCCTGCTACCTTGTAGATTGCCGATCTATAGGATTTTGTCACATGCACTGGCCTGGTTAAATGCTCTGTTGTTCAGTTTTGCTGGCCAGAAGTTCCGGTGTTCTTGGCCCGGAACTTCTGGTCTCTGTCCAGCCAGCCAGTAACCTTGATTCTGCTACTGTTTGTTTTAACCATTGCACTCCAACCTTGTTGATTCTTGTTGTAGTGGTCATTATGCCTTGTGAGAAAAGACAGAAGCTTTCTCAAGATGTTCCTGCTGACTCGAGCCCCTAGTTCGTGGTCCTAGGGGGAGATTGGGCAAAGAAAAAGTTGGAGATTTTTACAGTGAGAGTCAGATTCCGATCCATTCCAGGAGGGCTGGTAGCATTGTCATTCGTGATGCACCCCGCTCTCCCTCTCCAGCTGCATCTGAGTCAGATGATGGTGGCAATGAGGATGAGCTTGGTTCTGAAAGCAATCCTTTGAGGCTGTACAAGACAAGGGCTGTTGATCCTGATCCTAAACGCCCAAGAGTGAACTATCTAAAGAATCTACTCAAGTGTGGAAAGGACAGAATGGTTAGTCCTGATACTCTGCCAGCTGACTCTCAGGATGATAGATTCAGGACCTTGGTGTAGGTTGATTGGTATAACTCTGTGATCATGGGAAGATCTCATCCAGTGGTAGAGATAAAGTGGCTAGACTGGCAGTACAGGTCCTCAAAGAACAACATAGTCTTCAATGAGGTATGCAAGGTGTGTGAGCGCAAGCACGTGGCAGATTTATTGGCCTTGCAGTATTCCTGGAATGAGGAAGTGATTGGAAAGTTCTACTCCACTGCTTTCTTTGGCACCACCAAGAAGGGGCTTGATTTTGTGAAGTGGACCATTCAGGGGCAGCAGTATAGGG